GCCAGATCCTCCTCCGTTGTTGTTGTTCCATTTCTTCCTTTGTTCTTAAATAAATTTTGTTGAAATTGAAATACTCTACTGCTTACCATGCTGTTATATAACATCAAGAAGGAAGAAAGAGCTGCTCAGTGACCGCTGAACATCTGTAACAGTGTCCGTGGGGCAGGGAATCACGATGAACATGATAAAGAAAGCTAAGAAGTAAAAGAAACAACGATTACGAAAACAGTTTGCATCAATCAGCTCTTAGAACTGATAACGTTTTTGCATACCCAAATGAGCATAAAAGATCCTAGTCAACTCCCTTTCTCGACAATAAATCTGTCGCAACTCGGAGGGTAAACCACTGATCTGCTATTACTAGTATCACAACTATGACTCTGATAAACAATGAATTCAACTTCAATACCATATCCCTTCATCAAACAATCATTCTTCAATTCCTCTCTCCGCAACAAATACATAACTAGAGTAACTAGAGCAGTAGTTCAAACCATAACAGAATAACATGCAAAACTTTAGAGTTAATAATCAATTTCTCGTTTAAGAATAAAAACTTAATCACAACCATTCTCATTAACTAGCCTCAACTCAACAAACAGGTCCTTTCTCAATAATAAAGTCGTCGCAACTCGCTGTTCGAGGGAGGTAACACGACTGATGCCTCTGGTTAGCTACGTGATTCGGTGAAATCACCAAATCATTAATTCAAATCTTATTCATACTACCTTAGCCATACAATCAACAAGTCATAACTTCTCTCTATTAAAAACTTTCCAGAACTATCTTATCAACATCAATAGTGAACTTAAAAGATTTAAACACACAAATAGTAGTATCGCACACCCTCGACAACTCTGTCGCCGAACAAGTGGAGCAAATAAGGAGAATGATAGGTTCAAAATATGAGCTGAGATCAAAGAGATCGAGATCATGCGGGAAGATTCGAAACAGTCTCGAATCGATCAATAGATCAGATAGAGAGCTGAAAAGAGTATTGGAACAACAATTTTTACTGACCAAATGGGCGAACTACACACTCAAAGAGCGTCCCAATCCGTATCATGGAGAGCATGAGGATACAAAAAACTCGTGAAGTAGATGAACACATGAATTAACAATGTAAGAGCAATAACCTCCCTAAATGACATCGGAAGTTAGTATGAGATGAGTTGAGTTATGAATGTTGTCGTGCCTCATCAGCATCAGAAATGAGAATGAAAATAGTTCATTTTTCATTTCAAAACTAAGTAGAACGGTCAAGCATCAGTGAACGACCGCTAAGTTGCACGTCTGACGTGGAATAGAACTAGGAAGAGTTCATTTCCAATTTTTAATTTTTGGCGAAGCGGTCTCGAGGTCCAGACATCTGAAATCAAACGAAACAACCGGTAGTTTGATTTAGATTTCATTTTTGTGTTAATCATGGCTTGATTAATATGAAAAAACGTCTTGATAGAACGCAGATCTGTGGACTCTAACGCCATAAAGGAGAAAACGTAGAAAATCAACGATGGTATCCAGCAGATTTCAATAACCCCCAATGCACAGGATAACAGAGAGCTGTAAACTTCGACGGAACTCACAAAACAGATGTTTCCCGACTTTCACAAATTCAAAAAAAAAGAAAGAAAGAAAGTAACACGCTAGGAACATTAACGCGGAATGTTTTCAACACACATTTGCAAAGTAAGCAAAAGGAAAACAAAAAAGCCGAAAACAGCTAGCCTTCCCCACATGTTTGGAAAGTAAAGGCTTCAGTTACAAGACCCAGTCTAGCATCTTCTGATTTTGAATGAGTTGAGAGAATGTGCTTACTGCATCAAGTTTCCCTTAACGGGTCATTCATATAGAATATGGGCCAATTAAACAAACATCTAGGTAGCGATCACTTGCAAAACATGAAATTGACATCATCAATGATGAAATAGATATGGGTGATTACTTTATCATTGAAGATCATTTTGCAAAACAGCCACTTGGGGTAGTTTTCGTGCTGTTCACGTGAAAGACATGCTATGGACAAAGGAAAATACCACTTTTAAAGATCATGTCCTTGTGATTGATAACGAGAAATAACTTGATCAGACCAATTAATTGCAAAATCTAAAAATAACAAAAACACTCTTTGGTGATGAAAAAACAAAAAAAGCGGCCACTGAGGAGAGTACAGAATGATTTGAATGATAGATCAATGATTAAGATGAGTATGAGAAAAGATGAAAGCAACGCATATCTCAAGATGTCCAATGTTATAGATTGCATAAGTAACAATCATGCATTCCTCCCCCCATTTGGCTAACATCATTTCTATTCATTTATTATTATTTTCCCAGCTGCTGCTTAAAGCTTAAATGCGTCTATTATTTCAGTTTCATTTGCTCTTTCCTAACAATTTTCCAGATATTTTTTTTGTGTTGGCAACCTCAGCCACGACAGCCACTATCGATTGATGGCAACAAAGTCGAAATAATGTCTTCTTCCTCATCACAATAACTTCAGAAATATGTTTTTACCTCGAACATCTGCATCTGCGAAAGGCATTGTTCTGGATAATGTCCATTTGTGCGTTAGTGATATTGGTAAAACATGTTCAGATTGTTATCATCGTTACATAGGTTCTGCTGACCAATTCTGATAGCATCTTTCTATATAAGGCCATTTGAATTCTCGAAAACGATCCTTCTCCTTCATCCATTCTACTTGCTTCAGCCCCAATGAACTAACGCACACGATACACTCTTGTTACGGAGTACTTTGAACTTGTCTCTTCTGCTCTTCAACGACACAACTTCTCATCAGCGTCACCCCAATTGCGTCAGCCTCCGAAAAGACTCTACTATAATAATTATATTTTATATCAACCTTTCTAAATAACTTGGATGATTGTGAATTTGCGAACAGAATGTTGTAAAAGACGCATTTCACTCTTTCTCTTTCGATTTTCCGCGTCCATGTCTCGGCTATCGTCCGTCCCCGGCTTCTCTAGCTGCTACTGCCGCTGATGATTGTATGCCTCTATTTCAAACACACACACACACACAAAGACGGCATACATCTTTGTATGATAGACAAGTGTTTAGTACCTCTTTTATGGATGTGATGTCATTTTTTGGATTCCTGTTTCTATCTAAAATAATAATAATATGAAATGATTAATTCAAATGAACCTGAACGCACTTAGCTGATTGTTTAAAGTTGCAATGTCAACATGTTTTGTTCAATGAGCCATCCCCTAAACATGTATTTAAACATTAAGTTTCTCGCTTCTCATTCTTCATAACACAATTTCTCAGCAAGTTAAGGAAGATGGAATCAGTTAAAACTAATGTATGTTACTTACGCTTTAACCCAAATCCTGCATACCCCCTCTCTCATCAACGTGTCCGTCATCATTTCGGATTTTGATATTTGTACTTTATCTTTTCATCGTTCTAACATCATACATTCAGGTGGCGTCTTTTCTTCGTTTATTCAGCTCAGTCAGTATGGCTCCTAGAAAGGTAACAATCATTGGATCAGGCAATTGGTATGCATTCCAACAAGTACATGTTATCATATGCAACTTACAGGGGCTCTGCCATTGCTAGAATCGTTGGTTCAACTGCCAAAGCTAATCCCGAAGATTATGATCCCACCGTTCGTATGTGGGTATGTTACTTCCTTATACTTCTGTTGCAACATTTGCTTTTTCAGGTTTTTGAAGAACTGGTCAACGGTGAAAAACTCTCTGAAGTGATTAATACTAGACATGAGAACGTGAAGTACTTGCCTGGAAAAATCCTTCCTGAGAACGTCGTATGTTTTTACACTTTAGTGTATGACTCTTAAAATAACCAACACAGGTTGCTGTTCCTGATCTCGTTGAATCTTGCATTGATTCTCATATTTTGATCTTTGTTGTTCCTCATCAATTCGTAAAAGGAATCTGCAATCAACTCGTTGGCAAGATTGTGCCTGGAGCTCAAGCTATTTCCTTGATCAAGGTTCTATTCATCTCACAGCCTCACTCAACATATAATTTCAGGGTGTCTCCACTGAAAAACAGGGAGGTCTCAAGCTGATATCAGATGAAATCCGCGAAATCCTGAAGATTGATGTTTCCGTGCTCATGGGAGCAAATTTGGCTCCTGAAGTTGCCAATGACAATTTCTGTGAAGCTACCATTGGTACGAATCGATTTATAAAGTTGAGTTATTCGAAAAAATGCTTGCAGGATGTAAACAGAAAACTAATGGCCCCATCTTGAAGAAGCTTTTCCATACCGATCACTTCCGCATCAATGTTGTTGAAGATGCACATACTGTCGAGTTATGCGGAGCTTTGAAAGTAAGTACAAGAAACTAGTATTCGTCTTAAAGAACAGTTCAGAATGTTGTTGCATGTGCTGCTGGTTTCACTGACGGCTTAGGCTATGGTGATAACACCAAAGCTGCAGTTATCCGATTGGGCTTGATGGAAACTATCAAAGTAAGCAACAGTAATCGACTTGATTGAGTTTCGTGTTCAGTTCGTTGAGCATTATTACCCTGGATCTAACTTGGGTACATTCTTCGAATCATGTGGTATTGCTGATTTAATCACAACCTGTTACGGAGGCCGAAATAGGAGAGTTTGCGAAGCATTTGTGAAAGCTGGTGGAAAGGTTAGCAAATTAAATAACATACTCTTTAACATTCTCATTTCAGCCATTAGTAGAAATTGAGAAGGAGTTATTAAACGGACAATCAGCTCAAGGTCCTTTGACTGCTGAGGAAGTTTATTTGATGTTGAAGAAAACTAATGTGGAAGACAAGTAAGTTCCCTATACTGGAATTCCTGTAACATTCTGATTTTGCACAAATCAAATCAAGATAGAGGCGTTCAAAGATAGAGAAAAATTTCTGAACAAAAACTGTTTTCAGATTCCCACTCTTTGTTGCCGTTCACAAAATCTGCCAGGGAGAAATGAAGCCAACAGAGTTAGTGGAATGCTTGCGTAGCCACCCTGAACACGAGTAATTTAAATATTATATTGTGGATGAACCTGTCCATCGCATATTTAAACCATATATATATGTATAGTCCAAATCGTTAGTAAATCTTTCGTATACTTTGATCTTGGATCGCTAGACAAAGAGTGAAGAACACGTGCATATCATGAAAACGCAATAAGCAACTCAATCGGCTTGCAACAACGTCTGAGGGCTCAATTACTGCCGTTGGCATTTTTCAAAAATAATCTTGCCCTTTGCTGATAAACAATAATATCAGCTCCAGTGAAACAGCAACTGCTGTGAAGCTCAACAACTGTTCTAATCAACTAAACTAGAAAAGAGTAGACTATCAACTTCGTTAGCGTAAAACTCGACAAAAAACGTCGATGATGCAACCGTTGGACACAGCTCCAATGAATGCAATGGTCCAATATAAAGGGGATTGGCTATCGGCAGATTGGATTTGAGCAGACTTTCCTCTTTTTTTTGCGATATGAGCTTGAAAAATTCTTTTTTTTTTCTAAAATAGAGATAGATCAAACAACTAGATCTGTATCAATATTGTACAAGAGTTCCGATACTGGGAAAAAACTGAAACAGCCTTCAAGTTTAACATAAGAAACTTCATCAACATCAGTATTCCTTCTCAACAAGTGTTCTGAATACTGCATAGAGTACTATTCTAATCGATCAATTTGAAAAAAACATTTGAATTGTCGAAGGAGAGACGATTAGTGTCTAACATTCTCTAGATCGGAACCTTGAGGATGAACGATGCATTTTTTTGGACAAGCAGTGGGACTGTGTTGAGAAAACTAAGAAAAGGCTTCAACTAGCGAGCTCAAAAATAGAATAAAACGGGTGCAAGTCGAAATGATGACCCATGAACTATGAAACAAACGTCTGATGCTGAATGCTTCATAGATACTCATGGAACACAGCTTCTGGTGAACCGATGTAAACCCCTAGCTACGAATGAAAATGATCATGAAAAGCTAAAAAATAGAAAGCAACCATTCAATGAATCCGTGAGGAATGCTACAACCCTGTCTTACTACTAATTGGAAATGCAAGCTTTTTCACATCTTGTCTAGAATGCAACCGTTATGTGGACGGAAATGTGAGGAATGCAACAGTTCGAAACAATTTGTCTGATGAGTTGAGCGGTTTAGAGATGATGAGAGCATGCGACCATTCAGTACATTGGAGCCCTAAACCCGATAACACAAGAATAAAATTAGACAAATAGTAGAACTTTTATTCTTTTTTCTGTTTGTAACCTGAAATGAAATAACTGATGATACCAAACCAAAACTAAAAATATGAAAGTGAGATATCATATCAACTAATATATCAAAATTAGTTGACTATCACAGGGAAAAATGTGAACACGCGGTATTAAAAAAGAAAATTGAGTGTCAATACAATAGATGATGAATAACTTAAATAATCCCGATGTAAGTAACAGTATACAATCATACTACAACAAAACGCCGACAAATGGCAGGAATGACGCGAGATGAAGAAAGAAGTGAAAAATATTGCTCATGTATCCAGAGCATACTACTAGTAATATTCGATTTAATACTATTATATTATTAGACCATGTAGCAGCAAAATGAGTAAACGATATAGAAACTTAAAGCTACGTTGCAAGGTGGCCTTATCACATTTACACGTATAATGTTTCAAAGAAGTATTAGTATACTATTTAACTCTTCGATATTATAAAGCGATAACTTCACCAAACTGGAGTTAGTGCGAAATGAGCATGAACTCAATGATTCAATTATATCTAAAGACTATTCGCGCAACAAGTCTGGATAACAACTAACAAAATACTTTGAAAGTAAACTGACATGTTTCGTATGGCTGAGATATTGCTTGCAGTATTAGAACTATGGCACTTGGGAAGTATGATTAATTTGGAACAATTACATTGTACTGCTCAGCTTTCTCAGGACTGTATTCTTTGAACTTCCATTTCTGATATTTGTTGCTGGAATCACATGGCTGCATCAACAGTTTTGCACCCTCCTTAGACATCTCCAGACACTTTTGGGACACACCATGGAGTAATCGACCCGTCTAGAATTATCATAAAGCTCAAGTTACGAATAAATATATACTTACATCATGATTATATCTCCATTCTTGATTACCCTTCATTCCGTGACAAGGGAAGATCATAACATCCTGTCCTGCATAATCTACACAAGACTCGTCTCTTCTGATTTCTCCGTCTTTAGAAAACATCCAGTACTGAAAATAGACAAATTATGCCGAAAACTCAAAGAGAATCGCGCGCAGTCCAGTATATGAACACTGACAACACCGGAAACCTAAAAGATTCTTCGAGCAACTTTCCTGCCTTTGAATAAGTAACTCATTCTCGTTAATGCTTCTCGAAATCTGTTATACGCTTTCACACAGTTTCAAACCTGGTTTCCTCCTTGATTGTGACATTGGAACATAGTGAAACGTTTTTTATCACGCTGTTGATAATCGAGGCATTGTCTGTTTCCACCTCCGGCATTTCTCAGCTTAATTTTGTTTTTCATAATTTCTCAATCCAAATAGATTTAGCAATTCCTTTCAAACTACTGGTCTCTACGAAAAAAAAGCAAGAAAAGATAGCCGACATGTGAGTGACAAACTGAACAAAACGTTACATATCTGAACCCATCACCTCATACATACACACTCATGTTGTTATTACATAGACAGTTATAAGATCAACTTCCACACCAACCCAACATCAAATAACTTTTTAGGAATCCGGTGCATCTGCGTTCCAAGTTCACAAGCGAGTTTGAACAGCTGTATTAGCTATATGTTCATCAGACTCTTTGTTGAACTCGAGTATAACGATTTCATTAGATTCCTTGACCAAACCTGATTTCCTCCTTGTTCATGACAAAGATAAGGTGATAGAGGCTTATTTTCTGCATCTTCTCCGACTGCTCCATCCATGCAATAAGCAGTTGCTTGATTACGTAACTGAAAGGCGCGCGCAATAACTAAACGTCAAGCTCACCTGGTTTCCGCCCTGACCATGACAAGGATATAAGCCGACAGGTTTGTTCTTTTCGTGCCTGTTAACCATGCAATCAAGACAACGATAATTTGACCCCACAGCACCTTGGTTCCGCACCTCAAACAACGCGCTCGGTATGCTTTTAGTAGTGAACATACAACGGGGGAGAACATGCTTATCACTACAGGACCTTATTTCAAGCCAAACTATCTCTGTGAGAAGTCTCATATTTACAAATTCAGAGTTAAGGTGCACTCGTGAAGCAACAATTCATGAATTGTTGTCAACACGAACAAACTAAGCAAAACGCTTCACAAGGTGATAAGTGCTTGTGTAAATGTAATAGTAAATATGAAACTGGTGTCACATAGAGTACAAGACATCTTGTGCAGTTACAAGAAGTGACATATATAAGGTTAGAAAATTAATAACCACAAGTGTTAGACATAATTAGCATATTGTGACAACACATGTTATTGAAACCATTAGATAAGTTGTAAAAGAGCGCGCGGAACCAAATATGGGGTTGCTGAATACAGCAACACGAAAGAATCAAAGTTTTGTGATCTACACTTCGATTTGTATTCAACATTGTACTCATCACAAGGCAACGAAGAATGAACAAGCTTGTTCAGTGGAACTTAGGAAGAAAAATCCTCTGTCGATCAGGGCTTCACCAGGAGAAAATATTTTTTTTCTATAGTTTCCCAAGCTACATACCAAAAATAAAAAGGACGACAGTGGCAAATGAACTAAACTAAGTATTGCAGCTTGTGTTTAGCCGTATGCATGCAGATAGGTGTAACACGTAACTTGTGTACAAAGAACAGAGGTATCTCTAAGATCATTAAGCAAAGAACTTGCTTCATGCAACGTAATTTTCTAATAGACCAGAATTTTACATGGGAATAGGGTAAAGCAAAAGGTATGTTTGAAAAATCTTCTCAAAGAACGTACCTCTCCTTTAGCAACCGACTCTCCAGGAACGAAAAGTTCTGGGAAAATGTTATCCAAATACCATTTGAACGATTTACAACCCAGGTTTTGACGAAGAGCTTTTCTGTCAGAAACATCACCGAAATCGCCCTGAACGAAGAAGTCAGCAGAGATTTACCAAAGTACGAACTATAGCATTATTGATTCGCTCGTAATAGTATTGTTTATACTCATCAAGCCAAACTTCAGCTAGACGGACGGAATTCTTCTTCAAAACGTTTACACCAGTTCTATAAATATATTCTATGATGAAGTTCGAAACATAAGCAGACCTCCATTTGTATGGTGAACGTTTACGGAAAACATGTCCTACATGGGAACATGGGACGATCTCAAGTGTTCCTCCACACATCCAAATCTAGAAGAGTTTTTTTCTAATTTTTCTGACTCTCTCATTTCCTACCTTGAATGATAATTCCAAGTTCTCACCACCCCAAATGTCGAAACCAGGATCGTATGTTCCTAACTTCTCGAAATAGTTTTTATCAATTGAGAAGAGTCCTCCTGCCATAGTGGGAGATCTGAATAACATATCTCATGTTGTTGGTGTACAAGTAATTACCTGACAGGATCTATTGCTCTTGTTCTATTTTTACGATCTCTCTCCGGAATCGCATGCCAATTAAATTGCAAACCCCAGTCAAAACCTCCAACATTAGTGAAATATGCCTGAATTATGTTGATTTAAAGAGCCATATAGAATGTACAAACCTTCGAATAATGGTACTCAAAGGTGTTGTCATCAATAACATCAATAACAGGACATACAACTGTTGTAGGGTCACGTTTGATTCGATCCAAAAGAGGTTCAATCCAACCTTAATGAGCTTATGGTTGTATCATCTTTTACAGATTATTTTCTTACCTTCCATACATTCACAATGGGAATCTAGATATGTTAGTACTTTTCCATGAGCAATTTCGGCACCACGTAAGCGAGCACGAATTAACCCTTCTCGCTGTTCCATTCGGAGAATGCGAACTTTAGGGAATTGAGCCATATATGTTTCAAGCGGTTCTGATCGAAGATCATTAGCAACAGCCATTATCATGCTGACTTACTTTTCGTGTGTTCCATATCTGAGAAGTCATCAACTAATATGATTTCTTTGAGCAACTCATCAGGAGTTCGTTCCAAAACAGAATGAACTGTCCGAAGAAGTACAGACCATGCTTCATTGTGGAAACAAACAATGACAGATGTATCAGGCAAATTATCTTTGTACTTTTCAGTTTTACATCTGTAAAAAGAAGACGGCTCACTCATTAAACTAGCATTTTTCTTACTCTTTGTCTACGTTAGCAGGAAGTGTTCGATGAACAGAAATGAGATCAGAGGCGTACTGGTTGAATGCGTTATCCAGCATTCCCTTATCGTATTTTTTCTTTTCCTCTGCCGATAACTTCTATAATAAGTTTGTTTAAAAAACCGGGTTAAATTGCAAAAAGTTACAGTCTTATCTATCTTCACAGCTTTGCCTTCTTCTCCCTCTTGAGTAGTATCTCCACGTTTGTAAATAGGAGAATCAGGACCAAAGGGTACAAAGCCACCGGGTTTAGGAATATTGGCTTTGTCGTTATTGCCATCTGATTTGGGATCTTCTTCAATATTTTGCAGAACTTTATCTTCTGGTTCAATAGGATCTCCGATGCCAACAATAACTTGGTTATTGCTCAGCCTTTGAGGCCGAATAGGCTTTACTGGTAAATCATCAATCTGTAAAGAATGGTTTAAAGAAGCATTGAGGTATGTCAAAAGTTCTGATGCAAACACCGACAAACAACTCTGAACTGCTATAATGAGCTTCAATTAGAAGTTTGGAAGAGAACCTCTGGGGCAAGTATTTATGAATTTTTTCTCAAAAACAAAGAGCCTTCCATCAAAATGACGAGGTTCTTAGTTAATCGGTTCTTCGAATTATCCATTGACAAACAAGGTCGTCAATTACTAAAGAGTATTTGATCGACCAATTTTATAAGAAATAAAGTTCAACAGGGATGTTCAAAGCAAACAAGAATTCCGTTTAGCTTCTTTTCCGAAATTAGATCATCAGCGTTTAATGTTTTTTGGAAAGTTCATAGTACCGTTGTGTTGGTTTGCGTAGGTGTTAACACATATTTCTGACGAGAGACTAACCTTCGTATATCCACTATCAGTTGCAGCAAAATATATTAAAGCGCAGAACCATACTATAGGAACCAGAAGGATAACTTTGACAACAAGAGACTTTTTCTTTTTAAGCATACTTAAAAACTAATTCTGAAAGCTAAATGGATTACACACAAGCTCATTGGATGAAAAACCGAACCTTTAGATAATATGAGGTGACAGATAGAATACCCTAATAACAGATGACGTTCTGATCTAATACGTCCGGATAACCAGCGAGTTCTGAAAGTTGAATTTTGAATGTACGGATTGAGCAGATAACAAGTTGGTTCTTGAACGATACTATCTATTACCGACTGTCAATAGTAGCATTGAGCAATACCGGTCAACAAAGACAAGGCGGAAAGTGGTTAGAAAAATGAAAATAGTAAAAATAGGTCGCTAGACAAGTTTGAATATTTCCTATATGGGGCTCTAATAAATAAATAAACCAAGGGCCACTCAAAGAACATATTTGATACTGGTTCACCGAGAAAAGACGAGCTAGAACACAGAAGTATTCAATGTTCCTCCTTTACTTTGGCTTAGCAGTAATTTGTGAGTGAGAGACCGAGAAATGAAGGCAATACACATCGAAAACTCAATATTGAATCGAAACGTTAAGAGCTGACTGATGAATAGAAGAATAAAATCGACAAAAAACTTCTTATTTAGGGTGAAAAAGTAAAATAAAGGTCGCTTCCTTCTATATTATGTACATAGTTAAGATGTATACCGAAGAGATCAGCATACTATATGAACGCCTATAAGTCATTTCATAAATGATATTCAAATTGATCAGCGACCCCCCATAAAACTGATTCTTGGTACCTTATACGAGCTACATCAATTAACACAACAACAATGCGAATGAGAACAGTTTTAAAATGTGTGAATTGGTAAATAAAAGTTAAGAATGACGAGTATCTATCGACGTAGCAACTACAAGTACGAAGAAAATTGAAAAGATAACGTATTCATAATGTATGTTATCAGTAACACTCATACATGTTTAAACGTGCTGACAATGACCTAGCGGACAATACAGATACTGATCCTTGCTATCATCTTTACATTCTATTTATGAGAACCACGGGTTGAATATGGGAAATTGAATGCAACATGAATGTTGGAAAAACGAAACTTGATGCTTACAACGCAATGTATAACAATAACAAGTAAGAGAGATGGGGAAAGGTTATACCAAATAGGCTACGTGTCATGCAGTTAATGGAACTCTAGAACTGATATATCAATGTCTAGTTGGCATACACTATTGATCAACATCCACGTTGACACACGTTTCCAATCATATGTAGGACATCATTATTCCATGATAACAGGAAAATGAGCCTAACAACATTTAAAAAAGGTTCTAACACAAAAAATGAAATACAATAATAGGCCGCTTCGATATAGAAATATACAAAAACATAATCAAAGCAATATGAGATAGACCGATTCACAGCGAAAGACTCGTTCAAATGAAGCTAAAGCGCGCATCACTTCACACACTCCACGTATGCTAATTTCAACCGTCGAATTATCGCACACAACGGAGACCTAATGAACACAAGGTCATTTAAGTTTTTTTTCTTGAATTTCGAAAACATTCTGTTATTGTTACGTCGCCGAAAGTTTATCAATCAATGAGGATTAAAAGGAAAACGTAGATTTTCAGTGAAGTCTGAAGAAACTTGATTTGATTAGGACAAATTATGTTTCTGTAAGGCTTCCAAATAATGAACAAAAAATTTGACATTGACTTGGACAAGTCCAGTGGAAAGGAAAAATGATTGTAAATAAGCCGTTAGCTAATTCTCACACAGCCGCTTTATATTATAGATTAACCGTGTGCGATGATGATGATCATTCCGCGATAACCTTGCTTGAGCAGTTTTACAAATTTATAACTTTGTAAGACTTTAGCGGTGTTTACGCAATAAACAGATATATATTGAACTCAAGGTTCTGACCGAAAAAGGAAATGAGCCGGTGTTGTTTGAGGTTGTTGCTTGGTCACCGAGTAAACGAGTACAAAGGAAAATGCTCAACGAAGTTTGAAGAAGTGAGTAATGTGTTTTACTTGAATGAAAACGAGAAAAACGAAACGAAGAAGAGTGAAACGATGAAAAATCCTTGAATATTACTCGAGTGGTGAAGGTCACTAAGCAGTTTCTAACAAGTATATTGAACAGGTAAACGGTTAAACCTTTTTCTTTAGAGAAAAACGGTCAGAAACGCGACAGGCACGAAAGACAAACGGAAATGGAAGTGAAAACGGAAAGCACGAGAGAAGATGCGGAGAGAGAGTAAGAAGTGTGTGTGTGAAGAGAACGCAGCGCATAGCTGAGGCATACCTTCCGAAAGGAAATAATTGAAATTATGAGTATCTAAAAGAGAAAAGAAAATAAATTGATCGACTAAGTCCACCCAAAGCATAGCTTATCAACGATCGCGTACAGTACGCAACAGAGAACACATTCGACTCTATAAGGATGTTGAGGGGCAAGTTTTTAGCTCAGTTGCGAAGAACTCGCTTTATGATAAAATCGAAATGTTTCAAAAAACAAGTGGAACAGTCAATACCTGTAATAAAAGAAATGCATACTTTAGGTAACGTTGAGAAAATGTACAAATAAAACGTTCTGGTCAATCCCTATACGGCCGACAGATTAGTTGCGGTCAGCTGATGCCAGGCAGAACAATATTAGTTCACAAAATGACGTATTTCCTGCTCTTTCTTTGCTGGAGATCAGTTCTGAGTTTTTGGAAGAACAAAACACTTCGTGAGCAGCGCTGACAAGAGTATACACAGAGAGCAAAATGAACTTTCATGGGTTGCCTCAGGCTATCTTCTTTCGAGAATGCGCTTTAGACTGACGAATAGCAAGTTCATAAATAGAACGATCTCCTCATATGAAACAATAGTCATATGTATGTTTCATGCTTTTGAACGTTGATTAATATGATGTCATATTATGTATACAGGTGATCAAAATGCCTCCTCCTTAAAGGGCAAATTACAGTGGCGGTATACGCGGTAGTGATCTCGAGTGGAAAGCTTTAGTTACTGAATAAACTTTGACGAAGGGCGATGAGCAGCAGCAGCTAGCACAAAGAGACACCATAAAGTTTATGAAGAATAGAAGAAAAGGAGAGAAGAGAATGAAAAAGGGATAAGGTCTAATTTTCTGGTCAGCTAGCTTGATCTGTAGGTGGTTAAACAGTGTGTTAAGAAAAAAACAGGAGTCATCGCGAAAAAAACAAAAAGAGCTCCATATTTCTGTTGAAGGAGGTATTGTCTGGAAAGTGAAAGAGCAGTTTTTTGTTCGCAGAACTACAAACAGCGTCAGTTTTGGAAAGAAAAGCTGCGACCATGACTATGCGATGGTAATGAAATGATGCGGAACTAAAAATTCTAAAAAAGTGTAGAAACGATTATAATAATAATAGTAGTTCTGGAAACAGCCGTAGAGAAGCTCAGAGGGTTCAGGCAAATAGGAATTAAAGGAGGATGATAATTGCAAATAATTCTGAATGAGATATGAACGATTGTTGTGTCCGTCTCCTTCTATTTGTTTGTTTGATAGCCGAGTGTATGAACAATCCAACATAAAGAATACAGGAACAATTTATGTAAACTATGAAGTCCATCTGCTCTTCCCTCATATACAAAATGATCATGAAGAAGCTTTTTATCGTTAAAACAAAAGTTTTGGACCAAAACGACTGCAGAGTGTGGTATTTCAACACGCAGATAGTTCGTAGAGTAACTGTTGGAGAGGAACACCTTAAACGGAATCGTCACTCACTTCAAGGAAGACACTTCAAAAAAATAATTATTAAAGATCCCATTTCACACAAGACGAGAGACAACAAAAAGAAGGGGAGAGGGAGGACGCGTGGAGAGTGTGAATGCATTCCCATAGTTTTTGGAAGAGGACAATATGAGTTTCGAATTAGACAGAGAAACGATTAACCATTAATTGAATATGGTATAAAAGGAATAAAAAAGACGAACGAGTAGATAGATAGTCTACACGATAATCATTTGAAGGACATCAGATTGCAGAAATGAAACGACATATAACCGAAATGAAGAGAAATATTAAAAATAGAACTATCAAAGCGGTTATAATTTCATTTTCAAGGAGTTCTTGAGCTTCGAATATCGGAAGTCCACAGATGACGATGATGATATACGATGCCCGCGCGAGGAGACAAAAAGAAAAAAAATTAAAAATCAATTATGCCAGTGATGGGATGGAATGGAAATTTGAAATCTAGATTATTGGAATCCGTTATGGATTATAGATTATACAAACCGCTCTGTTTCACTATTGCAGTTTCCTAAGCGGCATATAGTACAGATTAATTAGAGAATTCGTGAATAGAGGAGCCGGAACTGCGCTGTAAGTATGATCCTCTCTTGAACTCGAAATTTATGGATGTGATGGGACGGGCTGTTTATAAATATTGCGGAGTTTAAGAACAAACGGCTAAAGTATAAACAGAAGTTACATGTTAGTGAGTCCAATATTTCTTCGAAACGGATGTTTGACCAGATGATGCTCTAGTTGAATAATCGAATCGAAACAATTCGAACAAAACAATGTTTTGCAACCCGCCTAAAACATGAGGAACATGTTCATGAAAAGCTAGGACAGGATTGCATGTAATTTTCACCTACTCATTCTGTAGACTCTGTCATTAAACGAGAAGACCAAAAGAAGGATGCCTGTTGACGGCAATAATCCTCCTTCGTCTTGATGGTCTATTAAATTTGGGTAAGTTAGGCGATTTCGGTTCGAACAAGTCACCAAACTAGTTTTACAAATTTTACTCTCACTCTCAAAAAAGTAAGGAAGTGGATGAAAAGAAATAGTGACAGCTCTTATTTTATATTATTTTAGAATACGACCTGTAACCTAGGCAGCATAGGCTGTCGGCATGCAGTCAGTCGGGCAGGCTGGCAGGCAAAGAGGCAGGCAGACGACAATCCCGCATGACCGAAGAAAAAACCGGGTGTATTTCAAAACATAACAATGAAGAGGGGGGACATACCCGGTTCACAAGAAATGAGTTAATGACAATTCACGCAAACGTTCAAGGGAACATATAGTTACAGAAGACTCCAAAAACTAACCTGACAAGTAAAGCTTGGCAGATGAAAATCACTGACGTTCCATTTGTAGAACTGAAAACTTGATGAGAATGGAACACTGTGTTAACAGATAATAGGTTAGAGTGATATTAGTTCACACTGACAGACATATTGAAAAGAGAATAACCTAACGATTCATTACAAACAGTTATTTTCCCGATACAGAAAGAACCAATGGTTAGAACAATCAACAAGAGCAACAACCCAGATTATTCCAAAGTAGAAAGATAGGCTATCTATTATAACAACAACAACAATGAAAAGTGCTTAGCCAACACATTTATGAAAAGGGTAGAAGGCATGGGCTTTCAAAGAGCAAGCTTGCCTCAACAAACAGTAAAAAAAAGGAAAATAACCATTGGTTTAGCCCACTTCACTCCAGAAATGCCTTGTTGCTTAATAAATATATAAAAATTTGAGTTTCAGCAAAAACAGGAGAGCTTGACAGGCGTTTAATCTAATCATCCAGGAAGAAGAAATGTCCACTTCGCTTCTGTTCAACATCCTTGACGGAGTCCTTCTTATTAATTCTTGGTCGGTAAGTTTCAGAATCACGTCGGAAAGTGATGTCAAGCATTTTCAAGAATCTATTCATTCCTTCTAACAAGCTCTGTGGTCTGAATTATACTCGGTTATTATGTGAACGTCAAACGAGACAATTACTTTCTGGCAGTAGCTCTCACAGATGGTTCTCCGTCAAATACAATGACTCTATCGGCCAAATATGTAGCCATGATGAAGTCATGTTCCACAACAAAGGCAGTTTTCTTGGCATGCATAATGAATCTGAATACACAAACAAGTAAAAAAATGTTGTTTTTTCAGCTTTTTCACCTCTTGATAACCTTAGCGGCATGGAGACGTTGTTCAGAATCCAAATAAGCAGAAGGCTCGTCAATAAGATATACAGAAGCAGTTTTTCCAAGACACAAAGCCAAAGCAACACGTTGCAGTTCTCCTCCAGAGAGTGTTTGGACCTTAGAAAAGCATTTACAATATGTTAATGAATAAAGAATACTTCACGGTCCAACAGAGTCTCCATCATTAAGGGATTCATAACATCAGTCTTGAATTGAGGATGAATGTACATGTTGGAGATCTTTTCATGCAAGAGGTGGCGAACCTAAACAAACAGCTATATAACCCAACTCAAAACCCGAAAACTAACCAAGTTTTCTGACTTTGGTGAAATCTTTTGAGGTTTGTATGAGATACTCATAGCTGGAAGCTCGACTTCTTCGTCCGGTTTTAATGAACCAGCTAACATTCTAAAAAGAGAAACGATTTGAGATTCCACTAAGTTATTTGAATATACCTGATCATAGTAGTTTTACCAGTTCCGTTTTCTCCAAGCATAACAATGATTTCAGAATCACTGAAGTCACCTTCCTCAATGCTAAGGTGGAAAGCACCCAAGTTCTTAGACATGGATGGATACTGCAAAGTAAGCCGTGAAAATTAAAATGTTACAAAGCTTACTTGGAAGTGTCCTGTTCTCTTTACTTCTTCAAGCTGATCGGCTACTTTGAAAGACAACTTTTCCTCACTGAAAACAGAAATGTTCGAAGAAAGTCTTAACACAGCTTACCGGAAACGCATGTTTTCAGTTGGAATGAATCCGTTAAGGAAAATGTTAATTCCTTCACGAACACCAGAAGGAAGGGTGACAACTCCATAAACTCCAGGAACTCCATACAACATGCAAATGAAATCAGATAAATAATCCAAGACAGCAAGATCGTGTTCTACTACAATGATATAACTGAAAACAAAAATAATTATCAGTTGTCCTCGAAAAAGTACAATACTTGGTCTCAGTGATCAATTCACGAATCACAGCAGCAGCTTTTAATCTTTGCTTGACATCAAGATAAGAAGAAGGTTCATCAAACATATAAACATCGGCTTTCTGAACAACACACATGGCAATGGCAAAACGCTGGAGTTCTCCTCCGGAGAGTTGCTCGATTTGACGTTGTAAAACACCATTCAACTCTGTAACGCTATTGATGAAAGCAACACAAACATGAACACTAACCCATATCATTTTGAACTTTGGTAATGTTAGCCATATCATGTTTCCTTACGAGCAAGTCGGCGACAGTACCTTTGGCAGCTCTTAGATGAAGAGAGTTGCGTATGAGTCAATCAGACATTCAGAAATACCTTGGGATTTGATCGACATATTGAGGCTTTACTACAGCTTTCAAGTGATCCTCTAAAATTTTGGTGAAATAGTTCTGTAACTCAGAACCACGGAAGTAACTCAAAATGGTTGGCCAATCAGGAGGAGCCTACAAATTTCAATAATAAAAAGATAAAGATAACAAACGAACGTCAAAGTTGCCCAAATTGGGTTTCAATTTTCCGGCCAAAACTTTCAAAGCTGTAGATTTACCGATACCGTTGGTACCAACAAGTCCAAGAACCTAAATCAAGAATTGTAACACATGCAACAGGGAATATGATTTACCTCTCCACGACGAGGTGTTGGAAGACGATGAAGCTTGAAAGCATTAGCAGAATATCTATGTGTTGTTTCATTGGCGAGATTAGCAGGTAAGTTAATAATCTTGATAGCGTCATAAGGACACTTCTTGACGCAAATACCTATTAGGGATGAATGATCAAAAGGCTCTTAAGAATATATAACATACCACAACCAATACAAAGAACTTCAGAGATGAACAAAATTGGAGATGTAGTTTCTACAACCATACATTGTTTTCCTGTAAAGCATATTTATTGAACAGAACAAACTGCAAAATAACCTTGTCTGTTTACAGGGCAAGATCTCTTGCATGGTAAACCACAGTTTTTGGGTTTGCATCTATCTTTTTCCACAATAGCAATACGGGTTGGAACGCTGGTTTCAGCATTCGAAGCTAATGGTCCTCCTCGTTTGGAAGACATTGTTGCTCGGCTAGTTAACCCAGAAGCTTCTGAATATAAATCTTATATAAAAGATGTAACACGTGCGTGAATGATGCAACCGCTTTGCGTGGAAGAAAAAATGAAAATAAAAACCATTTCCGGTCGCATTATAATCAAGAACGAAACTACATACATAAATCTGTTGAAGCCATTTTATTATGAAAAATTTGCATTTATATGTTTAATTCATTTAAAATATTAACACTTCGACTAGTTTTAAATGAGCGATGAAAATAAAGAAAGAAGAGTCCGTGCAAGACCCAAACGACACCAAACCTTTAAAATATCGCTGTTGTCCCGTCAGACTGCAGCTTGTGAATAGATGCTATCATATTAGTTAATAGTCTATTGATATTTGTATTTAAACAGATATTTGTATGAAAAACAAAACACAGGATGAAGTTATTAAAATGTTCATTTCATTTCAACTCCAAACGTATTGAAGACTTGAAGTATACTTAATACAATAACGTGATATTATATTCTTATTATTCTTAAATCTTAACAGAACCACTGATATATTCCAACAAGAGAGCTCAACGATATTAGTAAATTAAGGAATTGCTATATACATGACGATCTATTCGATTTTGGCCCATTTAATGAAACTGGGAACAGTTCGAGTGGGAATGTTCTGACTTGTTGCTTTAATACAAATTCCCCGATCTTGACTCAATAAAACTACATTTCTGTATAGGGGTGGCTCTTCAAAATATGGTAAAACAACATCTGTGAATGGAGCAGCAGGTGAGTTTTCAACAAATGCAGTACAACTTTGCAAAATCCTATCATCATTTATCTGAAAGTGATTGTTGAGACACTGCTCAGTATACTGTACTTACTCTTCCTGTGTGATAGTCACCGATTTCTTCGCTTACTATACATATTGTCAATTTCTTTCCTTGTGTAGTTAAGGTGCTCATTCGCGGACATTTTTCTTTCGCCTTCTCTTTCAACCAATTGATGGCTCGTTTTGCTTCTTCGGTTACGAACTTCTCATGCATCGACATGGTCTCCATCCCCTTCCGCTGTCCAAGCCCTAATAACTCCTCAATAACTGTAAATAAAAAACCATGAGCACTATGTGCGAATGCTGTTCTAACCTATAGTCGGAACAACAATTTGGAATCGATTAGATTCGACAAGCTTCCGAACATCATCTAAATGATCCACAAAAGCATTCGTATCTAGGATAAGATTGGCGGGTCGAACGACAACCGTCTGCTTATTTTTCTCGAGTTGGAACAATTCTTCTCTCGTTCGATCGACTTGACTATCTCTCTCTGTCTGAACAAAGAATATCATTAAGACTTCAGAAGCCGATTTCACCAAAGTGTTGTCCTTAGTAGACGTAGTGCTCGATTCTGTTTCAAATTCTTCACAGCTGTGGCTACGGAACTCAGCTAGATTTTCATCGAAATAGAAGCAACTTAAGGTGGAGCCATCTATGTATTCAGCGCCTGATAAAAGATTTCGTAAACGGATATGAAGGTCGATAGGAGACTGAAAATGATAATGAACAAGATATGAGAATAAGGGGAAATACGTTTTCGCTCGTGTCTGGTGGAAGTGTAAATTCGCTTGTTCTGGGAACGGGTGGGAATATGTTCAAAAAGGAGGACACAAACACAAGTTCAGGTAAAATATAACTCTTGCTAGCTGAAAGTATGAGATAAATAAAAGAAAACAGATTTTCACATACTTTTACTAGATTCTGCCTTCCCTAATACTTGAGTGTCTTCCAGTTTAACAAGTTTATTAGTAACATCCGCCAACATTTGCCATGTATTAATTTTGACTGAACGACCGGAATGTCTCCATTGAGGACAAGGATTTACCTGTTTGTATGGGGAGTGGATCAACAGAAGGCATAGTTCGATAAATAGTGGAAGCATGAGGACAAGATAGCCATTCAGAGACTATGCCGATTGCCGGTAGGACACGCGCAACCTGTAATATAGGCAATAACTCAAATTGGAGAGATTAAATTTATTACTAATTGTGGAATAGTGTCTTTTCCGGTTAAGTAGTTTGGCAAAGAATCCAGAACATCATGAAGTGGTCTGAGTAAAGCTCCGAAAAACGTTATGACAGTTCTGACTGCCATTTGCTGTTGTGCCGAGCACATTTCTGGTTCGTCTAGAATATTTATGTAGAAAAGAAACACGAGAAAAACTAACTTTTGATTGCCGATACATGAACAGCATAAATTAACAAAAGACCCATTTGTATTAACTGATATGACGTGATAGGGGATGCAGGAATTAGAACTAAGGCAGCAAGTTGGGCGAGTGCTCGCTCAGACACGCTAACAAAGTGTTCCATTCCGATTTTTGTAATGAGTAATCCAGCCGTATCAATGATGTAAGATACAGTTCGCCGATGCAACTAAACAGCTTTGGTGATAAACATAGAATGTACTGTACTACCTGAGATGGTTGCTGCTCTAGATAGCTATCGAAAAGATTAGTTGCTTGCTCTGGGAGTTCATCTACACCATTCACAGCAACCCAAAGTTCCCTAGGACGATCTAATCGAGCTGCTAGCTCTGCTTCCCCTTGTACTCGGCCGTTTTCAGCATCCAGCATATGCTCGTACTTGTCTACCTGAACAGACTGGTGCGAAAAAGCAAAATATAAAGAATCATTTACCTTTCTTCTCATCGCAGCTAGTCTGGCGAATAATCTGATTTTTCCCGCTTCGAAGGAATGGGCAGCACTTAAGGCTCGTACACAGTAGAATATCTCATCTAACACTCTTTCCTGAAACAGTCAATTTACTCAATAGAAGCCATCGATAATGTGGTAGTTCAAGCGCAGGTGAAATATTTTATGAGAAAGTTGAACAAAACGTTAGACAAGTCGCCACGTGCTTTTAAGCTAGTAAGCGTGTCATACCGTACCAAACACACCAAACACATGAAGTTAAACTTGATGAAGCAAGCGTGTTTTGTTAAATGGTATCGCTTTATCACATCTTGATAAATACAGTGGCATCATTACATTTGATTTTTTTCGAATATGCTAATGAACCACTCTATTTATAATACTACAGAGCAAGGAAAAGAAATTAGCTAGGGTTTGGTTTGTAAAAGGGTGTAGGCAAAGAAAGAGAAGTTCAGAAAACGGTAAGCTGGTGCAATTATCTTCGATACCAAGAACTTCAATGAGTTTGGTTAAAGAAAATGGAAAAAGTGCACCAGCGTCCGAAAACATTAATAAAAAAGTGTCATAAACACTGAAAGTGCAACATCTTCAGACCTGTCTCTGTTCGGAGAGAATCTGGATAGGAATATGTCGGGCACGACGAGTGCTGCGGTAGAGCATCTAGAAGGAATGACGGTACGGTATGACAAAACAATAAATTCAAATAACGGTATCTAAAGCTTAATGAAGGTTCATCCGATACAAAACTGATTCCTAATTTTAAAGTTTTGATTTTGCGTAACATGAAACAAGACCATTGAAACGTTTGTACAAACGGTGGTTCTCATGAAAGAGCTCAGGGAAATTCTTACCGAAAAGTAAGCTACTACGGCCAACTGGTTGTATGGATGTCCAGATGATGGCCAAAGGAGAGACGCTTTCAAGTACCAACTGAAAAAAGGAAAATAAGATCCATCTTACCAACCAAATAACCTTCTAGCAACAGAATAGTCTTCGCATCCTTCCACAAGTGATTTGTATCTGTACAGATCACCCATAGAAACAAAATGACGCGAACAAGATTTTAAGGCGAACTGAAAAACTCTCTGGATCATAAGATATTAACAACAGACTGGTCACCTTCTGTTTTGAAGATAGGTTATGAAGAGGTAAGGGTGAAGGCATAATTGTTCGAAAATTATCTGTGGGGAAGCCAGAAGGCCATACCAGTAGCGAAGCTATTTCTATTTCGTAATCACTCTCGTATCGTTGAATTAACTTCTCATAAAATGATATTCCCTAAGAGGCAAGCATTTCGAAGTAAGGCTCAGAGCCAGGCTTACCGTAACAATATGATTTAACATGATTCCTAATATAGTTTTGGCTGCCGGAGAAGTGGAGTTAGAGGCACCTTTCAACACGTCGATGATCTGAAGGCTTAGAGTTTGAAAGGAAAGTTGTAATGCTAACAACCTTATGAAAGCCTTGTTTCCACAAATGCTGTTCTAAGTTCATGGAGAATGTGAAGTTGATATCTTTCGTTATAAACTCGTAATACACATCGCATAAGTCCTGACTATATTGAATGACTTTCTTTGCACTGTCAACGTCTTTCTTGGCAACCCGAGGCAGTAGTTCCGTTATGCTTTCATTGATCTGATAAAATGTTTCAAGTAAGTGACACTAGTCGTCAGTCCCTTCTCTCATCAGTTGCGTTGCGTTTTCGAAGTTTTACATTGATTTATCCACTGAACAAACAAATCTCACCAAATTCTCATATGATAAGATATGTCCCCGAGAGGATTCATTTAATAAAACGATTCTTCGTTTGTTTCCGCATTTCCAGACTGAAGCGCTGTTCAAACTCTCCCCCCTTCTCACTACTAACAGACCAAAAAGATCAAGTAAGAGTTCCCGTCTCAAAGTATACGAACCTTCTGCATTCTCGGACCCTGATCCTTCGATATCTGACTGTAAATGGGGAAATCCGACATTTGTTGTCCCTTCATGCCAGCTTCGTCTCTCTCTTGATCAGATGAACCTCTAGACTGATGTGGTTCAACACAACTGCAACATTAACAGAAGTGGTACAAAATATTTAAATGTAAGAGCAAAGCTTATAGCCCGATGGGTATTCTGTTAATACTGGTTAAGTTGTAAGATATAAGCAGCACATTAAGCACATGTAAAGCAACATTGGTAGGTCGAGAAGATGACGATGAACTTTGATTTTATTTGTTTCTTACAACTTCGAGTTTCTCAAGGTTCGCAAAATTTGAAATTCTTGTTTGACCAGATACGAAAGGAATATCATCCATGAAGGGCAGCAAAGGTAAATAAATGAATGTTATGGAAAAGAGCCGTGTACAATAAAATCCGAAATCCCAAAGCTTATGATTTATTAAAAGTTGTGTGAAACGGACACGCACACACAAGCTTGGACAACTTGCTACTATGACTTAATAACAAGTAAGAAGAAAGTACAAAGTTAACATGAAACATACAAATAGAAGATCGTCAGTACAAAAATTCTGAGCTATAACTCCCGGGAGATTCAAATAGCCAGAAATGGTAGATCAACTGTTGCGAGAAGTTCAAAAACCTCCGCACAGTTGGGAAGACTAGGAAACGTTTGAAATCTGGCCTGATTACAATGCTTGTGGCATACAACAGAGTACAAATTGGTGGATAATCAAAGATCTTCCGAATGCAATTCACAGAGCTTACAGATGTTCGGGTAAAACTTAGAGAATAAAATCACATAAAACAAAATATAGACACAGGTAGATTCCAGTTATGAAAAGTAAGTGTGCGCATAATCTCGTATCGAAAATAGAAAACCATAGGAAGTTTCAAACGGCAAGAAGCCAGGATTCAAAATAAGTCTCAAAGCTTAGAATGTTTCAAATTAAAAATATAAGAATAAAAAATTATTAGAAATGTAAGTTTCCATAAGAGGAAAGGTTAAACGGGGTGTGAGGTCATGGGAACCAGAAGATTGGCCGTGAACCTATGCACACACTTATAATTTTATAAAAATTATTAAAAAAAAGCTATTAAAACATAAAACGTATAAAAGCTTACAATATGAAAAAAAACTCAAAAGATCACGGTAAAACCTTTTTAAGTTAGTAAAGTGCTGAAGAGGAAAGGTAAAGAGTGCCCGCAATCCTTTACAGGAATTGAAAAAAAATTACCTCGCAGCAGATCTATTCGAGTTGAAGACATTCGGATGATGGTGTAAATCTTCTTGAATGAATATTTCAGAAAATGATCATGACATAAACAAACCTTGTCTTCGCGGATGGTACAGTTTTTGAGCAGGATGCCTACGAGAACGGTCTCCATAGTTTTCCTCGTTAGTATTACGATTAGGGAAAGATAGCCTATCTTTGAATCTTGATGGAGGAGCTTCACCTCTATCGAAATCATGATCCCCTTTGTATTTCGAAGCATTTACATTATTGCGTTGTGAGTCATAACCGTTGGGATCTAAAAGAATTAGAAATGATTGAATGAACGAATTAAGATACCATAATTCTCGTGGTATCTTCCTCGGCCGTTTTCATACACCTTGCCAGGAACACCATAACCCTTTTTCTGTTGTCGTCCTCCTAAAGAAAAATTTATAAGCTTGACCAGGAAGCGCTTCTCTACCTCGACTGCTCCATCGCTTGTTCTCATACTCGGACTCTCTAGTAGGCGTCCTTTCTCCGCTAGCGAGCTCACAGTCGTCACTCTCGTCTTCTTCAGCGATGCTACCACTCACAGAAGAAGAACGATCGCTATCTATATCAAAACAACCGATGAAAAAAAATACGGAAACAAAAAACCTTTTCGAGTACGTCCTCCTCGATTGTGCACCCTTCCACCTCGTCTCCACGGTTGTTTCGACCCTCTCGCTTGATCACCTATATTTACTCGCAGAATTCCTCGTGTATTAGTAGAACCAGATGCTTCTGGTTCTGCGAGTTCACTGGCACAAGCTTCGAGTCTGAACGGAGAACATCAGAAAAATACAGGAATTATTGAATACTTTTGCTGGAGTTCTTTGGCTTTCTCTTCCTCTTCTCGTCGAACTTTCTCATTGTAATCAGCTTCCATCTGTAGAGCACAAAAAACTAATACAAATAAGAAAAGACACTCACTTCTTCGCTCCAATTTATTGACCCTAAAGATTCGAATGATTCACAAATTTGACGATATGAAAACGATTGGTCATCACTAGCTTGGCTTTGCGTTTCCAATCGAGTATCAACTGTCGCATCCTGAAGACATAAGATGAGTTTAAACATATATAATGAAATATATTACCGGGGCAGGTGGACGCTCACTTTGAGTGCTATTTATGGAATCATTACGTCTTCTTCCATTTGGACGTCTAAATCCAGCTTCTGCCCTCATCGAAGATCTTTCGTGACCACGTGTTGGCTAAAACAGAGGTTTCACTTATATCTTGAAAAGTATTGACTTACAGCTCGATCAAATCTAGAAGGCCCCATCGAGTGATTATCGAAATCTCTTCGGAAGTCATTCTTTCTTGGAGAGCGGTACTCTAAATACCCCCCAGGTCGACGGTTATCGTACAGGGATTGTGTTGAGTCCTAAAAAATACTAGCTTAATAGCCAAAATCGGATCACATACGTAGGTTTTATGAGATCGATTATATCTTTCCTCTCGTATATCATCCCTACTTCCCTGAAAAAAGAGAGAAATAGATATAGAGCTGTACAAGAGTTTTCCTTACTTGTCTTGAAGACATTTGAGACCCATTCCTGCTGTTATAACCGTTGTATCCGTTATCATAACGGAAATCCCTAGAGGTATTATCATGAAGAAGCTTCAAGAAGAAAGTCTCACCTGTTATCTCTCCTTTTGTTACCTCCTCCCCTAACATACGTTTTCGAGCGATGTCCATGAGAGCTGGATATCGAAGCCGCATCGGGTGTTGTACTTCCAGAATCTCCGCGATCTTCAAATTGACTTTAACATATCATGATAAATCAACACTTACAAGAATGTTGGGATTCCGAATCGTTACTGAGACGCCGGGTATCGTCTAACTTTCGCCCTAATACAATAAGAATATACGAAGAAGATTTGTTTCAAACTAACCTGAGAAACGTCCATTTTCAGTAGGTAGCTTAGATGGACGTTCTCTGGGCTCCTCAGGAGGTTTAGAAGAGGGTGGTGGTGCTCCGAGTGTAATGTCTGTGCCTTTCCTCAACATACCTGAAAATCATGCAACTGAGAACATCGATTATTTATACTTGAAAATGAATTATTAAGGCAAAAACTTACCAGGTCGATATATGGCCATTTCTGGTCGAGGTTTTCGCACTCGCACCTCATTTTGACTCTGATTTTCAACTTTACACTCCTCTTCTTCATCCGGCATTCTAGAATATAGCAATGTTTCAAACGAAAGTAAAGAAAATTACATTTAGTAGGACGAAACGTACATTACGTACTAATATTGTACAAGAGAACTGACTCATCTAAAGAACAAACAGAGGAGCAATGTAACAGAAATAATTCCTATCTTTTATTCTTTTATAACAACATCGTCACACGAATGATGAAGAAAGGAAATAAAGAGAATTAAAAGCAAAATGTTTATGAAACATGATTAAGGTTTAATGCAGCAAAATGCCAAAGTTTCAACGCGCACAAGGCTTGACGTCAACTAAAATTAGGAAAAACCCTTTTTTTCTCTCTCAATGGGTGATGTTTAAAACTTCTCAACTATTCTGTTCAACAAAAACATTAAAAAAACTTAAACAAATACTTTTTATTCTCTTTCAAATACCAGATCTGGATTGCAACGCGCGCTACCCTCAATTTCTTTTGCCATTCGCACGCACGTGATGCCAATGCCCATGGAGCACATCTCAAGCCATGCACCCTCTGGCGCGAGACGCAATCAATGCTCGATCAGTTCATTATTTGATCATTGCTTTTGGAACTATACATTTCAATTTGTGATATGGTGTCATTACATGCTCTTTCGACTCTTTCATTTGATATAATAATGTGTCATTGTTGTGCTTATGAAAGTAAGAGTTACGTAACCATCTTGAGATCATTGGATAAAATTATGAAACGTTTATAAGCTTTGCTCAGTTAGCGAATAAAAACTTTGTTTTTATAAAGTATAAATATGTTTAAAAAAAACTGACAAACCGGGTTATATAAGAGATGATAATATCTGTATAACACAGTGTAATTGCCGAAAAAAAAGGAAACAACTTGTGTACACTATTGCAAAGGAAGTTATTATTACAATAGAAAAAGAAACCACGACCGAGATTGGGTTGAAACGAATTAGAAAGCTCTATTATAATTAGTCTATTTGATTATATACATTATAAAAGTGAGCAAAAAGAAAGCGAACGCAACCTATGTACAGGATAAAAGAGCAATTTCTATGATATTCAGATTATAATGCGTGAAACCCACGAGCCATCATAAGTAAAAGTGATAGCCAACCTAACGCGATGATGAAGAAGGAAGCGCGAGTATGTTCTCAAGGCACTAAATCAACCTCAACTACGATCATGTCGAAGCTGAATTTCTGGTCACGGTAGCAAGACTACGGAACCCCGACTAGAAATAAGAAGAAAATAGACAGGAAAAGTGAAGTGAAGAGATTGAGGGAAGAAAATTAAGTGAAACATTACTGAGAGCGAAAGAGACAGAAGAAGGCAAACATGACATTAGGGGCACGCAATATCCGACGAGACCGGTCTACTAACATTCACCTCAATATTATCAATTATCAAAGACGTAACAGTTCCTAGCACCCCCAAAATTAATCTTGTTTGTGATCGTTTATGAGAGAAAAAGATGAATTGAACAGCTAAAAACTCAATTCAGAAGTGAAAAGGGAATGAGAAAATAGAGTTGTAACATAGGAAGTCGTTGAGCCGAATTCTCCAGGTGGTTGTGATGATCGTGGGAAAACAAGTAAACCATTCAGAAAATATTAGGGCAACGTGACCAATCATGACGCTCCTTGCAATCCCAATAATCATATTTGAACTTATGAATAAGGGCTCCCGTTAGTTCATCTTGTGTTTTTGTGAACCACAATGGGGTATACTCTTCGTATCCACGTCCTGCAAAATAGATTAATACATTTCATATTGAACAGTATACACCAACCTTCTACCATCGCCTTCTCTATTTCTGCTTCCCGTTTCCTTCGCACTGCTCGTTGTTTTTCTTCGACTTCCAATTTCTTTTTATTTGACTCATCCCAACTGCAATGTATTTATTTTGAATTCGCCTTTTCGACTTAATTTGAATACACGTCAATCACGTATAAAAAAACTTCACGTGAACTTGACGTAATCCGATTCACTTTGAAACAATGCGCAGAACAGACCGGTTGACATTTTAACATCATCAATAAATTAAAAACTCACAATCCGTTTTCCATTAATCGTTGGTCTGGTCGGAACCTTGTATCTGTTGGTGCTACTTCATCATCGGGATCATTCAGCTCAATAGCAAATTTGGTGAAATTATGCATTTTGTCTGCCCCAGGGCTAAAAGAAGCAATGCTTAGTGTACATAATATCCAACATACTATGGTGGATGGCACGTCCAAATGCGTCGAGGGTTTTCATCAGTCTCAATCTTCTGCTTAGATCCAGAGCCAGTACACCTATAAGAAAAGAAAATGATTTAGCAGATTGATATTCTATATTCCATACCGCACAACTTTCACCATTTCTACGTACTTATCCCACGTTCCTTGCACAACATATTTTGGTTCATCAGAAGCATCGCGTACAATTCCATAAATCTGAGAATACAATTGATGTACTGTAACTTATTGTTGGAGATACCTTTCTTGGCGTTTCTTTACTGAAGTATGAGTAAGGAATGAACTTCAGATTACATTTTTCTCCTGTTCTGTGATTAACGATATCCATTTCGCCGTGATTATCAATCCACAGCTTACCCACAATAATATTATGCACCGTTGTGGTTATCTTGAACGAAAAGATAATGAACAAAGGACTTTATATTCCAGCATACCTTTTTGTAAGAATACTTATCTCCAGAACCAGGGAAATGAACATGACAGCTTCCCACAGGAATAACGGAAAGATACTTTCCACGAAACCGACTTGTCAATGCAAAATCTTGAAACATAACCCAGCCATTCCCTTCAGCATGTTGGGCAGCGGCGGGAGGATGATGTGACACCTGAGAGCATCAGTTAACAAAGAGAAGAGCGAGTTGGAAATTACCTGCTCAGATATGCTCCTCCAGCCTAAATCATCAAGTCTATCGCATTCATAAGTCTCTCCAAGTAAAGGATTGAATGGCTTATTAGTACGATTCCCTGTAGTAGAGTAGTTGCTCACAGCATAAGCCGCAACATAGCATAGCTGTTGAAGAGAATCCTTAAATCGAGTTCAATAAAGATAGCTGGATGAATAACTGACTAATTGAGCAGCTTCCTCCAGAAGATGAGCATATTCCAAATCTTCTGTTACTCGTTGTAAAACCGATAATGGTTCACTGAAGTTAACCTGAAATGTAGTGATTTGAAATACTTTCACAAAGACCAGTTAAGTACAGGCATGGGAATTTTGGACAGATCTTTTCCTATACAGTTTTTCATTATGGACCACAAATTGATTGGCAAATCCGGTCGATCAGGAATCTTTTTTCTACGTTGTTTAACAGGCCCCGCTTTTCGACATAAAGAGACCTAAGAGGATAGGATCTTAAAGAGTCGTTTTATGTGAAATCTAACTTGTTGGTGGGGAGATGTTGATGCTTTTTGAGTGTTTATGAACGGCTTCATAACACGAAGATCGCTGTTTTCCATATCATTTCGACTAAACCTAATTTAAGTAAATAGAGGCACAATAAAACCGAAGACATACTTTCTCTCGTTCATGATTAATTCTTCTTCAGCATCATGGAATTCGTCTTCTTGGTCACTGTACGCAGAAACTGGAAAACATATAGTGAGGGAACGTGATTATAATCAAAGATATAGTAGTCTCAAATCAATCCTTATAAGAGAAGAGAGAAAAATGAAACGAATCAAGTAAATACACACGTGGAGGATTGTAGTTATTACTGCTGACAGTGGCAGCTCGTTCGAGACTTGAAAGTTGTTTGGCCAATTCTTCCAACTGTTCATGCAATGCTTTTCTTTCTCGTTGTCCTGATGTGACTATCTATATGGAGAACATAAGAAAACTTGATTTTATATCTTTGTGGAGGGAAAAACGAATACAAAACAAAGATAGGCCTTACCTTTTCTAACTTTTTGAATCCACGATCAGATAAATCTACGAATTCGCTAGACGTCTGGGAAACTTTGTAAGCGTTCGACTAAAATGATGAACAAAATTTTTTAAAAAAATGTGCAAAAAAGGGGGAAATAACCATTAGTTGTCTAACACGATCGATGAGTATCTTCTTATCGCATTCTCCTTCATTTACACATTTGACCAGATCTTCCCCCTGTTTTTCTGAAAAGAAAAGTTAAAATAGCAGTTGTTTATTATTGAGTAAACACTGTATCTTTCCCGAAATTCTTTGATATAATCTCTTGTGAACATCTCTCACATTATGTATTCAATCTTCGTTATATAATATGTTTTTCACAAAATTATTTTTCATCGTACCCATTCAATACTTTGATTACCTTTCCTAACTTCTTACTACCCTTTCTTATCAGTTATAATAGATTTGGTCAATAAGTATACTCTCTTTCAATAGGACATGTGTTCGATTACTTACCGAAATCTTTTGAGACGATTTTCAAATCATGCAGCTTTTTGGATAACAGATCATGGTCTCCTTTCAAAGATTGAGCACGCGACTCACCAGCTGACATCAGCGCATCGTCATCCTCATCTGAAAAAGATTAAAAACTATAATTAGTCAAACAAATGAATGGTGTTGTTATCATAATAAGGTAATTACTAACCACTTTCCGCTTGTTTAATAGCTTTAAGTCTTTGACGCTCCAAGGCAGCTCTCCAGTTGTTACGGTCTATATCATTTTGAGTTTTTAAGTGATAGCTTTGAGAGTGAGCAGTAATTACAAAACTATTTGTGTCCTGAAAACATATTTTACTCATACGTTCAAACTAACAAAAAAAAAGAAAGAAGCTGATAAAAAATGTAGTGTGCGTACCTTATCAGATAATATATTAGCTTCCTTAAGATTGATACTTCCACGACAAGCTTGTCCAACTTCACTTGGATTTCTGCAATCAGATACGATCATATTCTTTCATCATATATTTACATATGAAACGACGTTTTCACTCCTGTCTCTCTCTATTTCTTTCTCTCAAACAAAAAAACTTCAATTTCATTTCATCAATGATAAGAGACTGGTTGCTAAAGATCAAATATATTCATAGAGTTACGGATTGTATTATACTTTTATGTGATCATCTATTTTTTTGACCAAAAAAAAAGGTAGAAAACCCTCTTCACCAGGGGAATTAACAAAAAACTTCGAAAATATGCTAATGACGTATTAGCGCAGCCAAACGTTTTCATTTTTGAAATGCAGAGAGCATGCTTACAGTCAAAAAAAAAACGGGAGAGGGGTTGTATTCAGAGAAGAAGAAGTAGTGAAAGTTATTTCTCAGATTGAAGTACAATAACAGAATTATTATAATGAAATGCAGCTACAAGGCGCTCTGATAACGGATTGGACGACAAAAGATAGAATGAAACAAAGCATATGCAGATATAGTGCAGTATAATTGGTACTTCAGACGATCAAAAAAAAGCGAAAACAAATAATTACGAATTAACAGAAGTAGTCAAAGTCTAATTGAATGGGGGAACGAACACTAATTTGATAGAAACATAAAGTATTACCCTTCTTCCCTTTCATTTTCATCAGCTACCGAATAATAATAATCGTCAGCAGATTCCTTACGTGATCTTCGTCGTCCTAAAGGAAAGTAGCAGAACGACATTCGTTTGCGGGCTCTTCGCAATCGTCCACGAAGGTTCGTCATAGCAGCAGCTCGACTCCTGCCACTCTTTCCTTCGATCTTATCTTTCCTTTCCATACAAAGCAGGGGTGGGGTAACCTTTTCTCAAACACAGACCCTCTAAGAACACAAGCGAGGCAGGTATTGAGAGAAAGGGAAAATAAAACGAATCGAATACGAAGACAGTAGTGATTAATCCATGAGATCTAGACGCAGTCTCAGACAGTCAGCGTACAAGTGATTGATGCAAGTACTGGTAGCTGTACACGTTAAAAAAAGGAGAGATAGTTGACAATCCTTAGTATACAACAGAATCGAGGACTAAGATGCTGAGAAGCAATGAATAAAAAGAAATTACGGGGTCCAATCGCCGCAGTACAAATATCGTTCTCTTCGGCAATCGGGAAGAAAACGTTACGAGTCTACACAAACACTATCCAGAAGATGCAACGTGTCGGTATTGCGGCCGCAGCAGAGTCCTTCTAGGAGCTCTTCTGATTGGAGACAAACCTTGTCGTTCTAGTCACAATACGTAACGGTGCTGTCAATTGCACAAGTGATTCATCTACCAGGAACGAGCACAACCAAATAGTCACGGATCGATATCACGAACCGCGATTAATATATGAGAGAGTTGAACGATCAGATCGAACAGAGAGAAAGGCGAGAACAAGAATGGAACGTATACACGGCTTATGAAGAAGAAGACGACTATAGTTATAGAACATGATGAAGTGGAGGCAAAGAAGATAATGATAGTAGACAGTATATTAAGAGCAAGACGGGTTATTGCCGTTTTCTATCTAATATTTGACCACGTCTAGTTAGAAAGCAGAAGAATATACGAAAAGAAACACCAGGCATGAGAGAGAGAAGACTTGTCTCTCATTTTTTCTCATTTATAGAACTTCACGCCATATACAGAATATGATAAAAGTCTAACAAAACAGCTGAATCCGTTTCATGTTCGGTGAGAGAATTCAGAAGAATGTTTGCACAGCCTTCATGGAAAAAAAGAAGAAATTTTAGAAACCCATGACTTGTCGCATTCTAACACACATTTCAGAATAATCATGAGACAGCTCTCATATACACAAAAAACTTGGCAACTCACCTATAGTAGCTTAGGACAGCTTCGGAATCTAAGACGAACCATCGCTGACGATATCCTTTTAAATAATTTGTCCATTTATACAACCAACCAGACATTTCGCACATTTTTACTTCACTAAAATTCTTCCAATTGGTTTGGCAGAGGAAAAAACAATAAAATTTATTAACACGAGCTGAGTCGAGTTAATGTTCTTTATTAGAACCAAGTGAATGAGCAAGTTAGATGCTAAGGTGACGGAGAATTTGAGAAAAGTATAGATCGATAGGAGGACAAATATGGCCCCCTGCGAGGAAACTATCACGTTAACAACATCACTACTTGAGTCATAAGCAAAAACAAAATTAGAATAAAACTGTAGCACACCTACCAGCTAATGATGACATCGCCTGTGGAAGAAATGGAGCCACCTTTCGAAGACATAGTTCTCCTAAAATAGCTGGAAGATGTGACGAAGAAGATAGTCTACACTTGGTTCATTTGCATATTGCACATAGCTCTGAAGTAATTTCATATCAATATGTAACAAGGTGACATATCAAAGTGTATTCAAAAGGTCAAATGATAAACCGGCCACGAGTAAGAGTTCCAAACACAACAGGTTTGGATGTTTTGAAAAACATAAAAGGGAACATAATTATTGAACTGGGTCACATAATGAGCTAAACTGAAAAGAGATAACCACCAGAACAAAGATCCGAGCGAAAAGATAAAGTTCAAAATTCACGAAGAATTGGGAACATCTTTCCTCTTATGAGGTGGGAGAACTAAAAATCTTAGCAACGCAACTGTGGGAATCTCAATTCTTGTTATGGAAACACATAAACAATGCTGGGTTGACCAACTAATGTTGCGTGAAAAGGAAAAAGAAAACTAGCAAAACAGAGAATGAAAGGGCAAAAAAACAAATTCTGTAGATGAGAATGAAAGAAAATCACAAGAATGAATATCAAAGACAATAATGAGTGTGAGAGACTAACCCACGTCTTTTAAGTTGCCGGAAATTGGATTAAGGAAACTTAATTGAAAATTTAGAAAAAGCCTGAACTACAGCATTGAAAATCTATAATGAGGTTTCTCCTCAAATAATTAACGGAAATTCATGAAAAACAGAAATAATTATGAACGTAAAGAACTCAATATCCCACCTCACATAAAAATCGAATTTCTTGCGCTGTTCCTGCGAACTCCGATTAGGCTCCGCCCACACTTGTGTGCGCTTTGTTGCAAGAGATGCACAGTTCTAATGTTAATTATTGAGCTAGTTTGTTAAAGGAATTGCTTGTTCTCATAAGCTTTAAGTTCGAGCCTCCGCGCACCATTTTTAGTCGGAGGCTTTCATTGATTGAGATCAGTGTATTGCATGATTTTCACTCTCTTTATTTGATTTTTTGCAATATTTGTTTGAAGTAAAGCTTTTGTGTATTTTCGATACTTTTCGATTAACCTTTTGTTTTAGGAGGAGATACTCGGTTGTTCGTAGAGGAATGATTTAAAGGAGTATTCTAAGTCTTGGGTATGTTGTTTCTTAAGCACGTAAGATTGAGCCTGCATTGTTTAGATAGTGACATGGGTAATTCGCCTTGTTGTTTTCGTGGTAGAAGTTCTACAAGCGACGATAAAACCTATTCCTTCGATGTTCAGGGACAATACACAAGAAACAATCAAGCTGAAGTTAGTTTACTTGTTTGAACAATTTTATTTTTGTCTTTAAGTTCCAATATGTTCACCAACCAATGGCTCGCGATGAAACTACAACAACGTTTTTACGGATGCTACCCCATATAAGTGAACGAGAGGTTCCCGATGAAGGTAAGCTCAATTTCGCAACCTCCATTAATGTATTGAATGTAGAATGCGAAGAAGATCCATCAACTCATCCAACAGCTCAACCCACTTTCATGGAAAGAAGCAAAAGTGAAATGAAGCGTAGGGTTTAATGTTTTTTCTTTTGGTCATGTTTTACTTTAAGTAAAAGACAATCGCCGTTCCTGTTACACACTTGATGCTTTAACTGCTGGTGGGGGTTATCCTGGTATTCTACCTCAGAGTTTAAGAAAATCCAGTAGCTGTAGTACAATATACTTAGGTGCGTGTCGGAATGCCACCTCATCGTCTTATCTTTGTTTCAGATGATTCAACCATTACTCAGCCAAACTTGAAGAACACTATCAAGTGTATAAGTCTTGCCATATTTTATCACATCGTTAACCGAAGTAACAGAGGACATGAACGATTGATGGAGATTTTCGAAGAACGTCTTCATCCTATTACGGTTAGAAGAGAAACTATGTTAAAACTAAACAATAAATTCAGCGGGATCCCATTCCACCTGAAATGGTTACAAGAGATCCAGAACATCGACAAATATACCGTTTCGTTAGAACTCTGTTCCAATCTGCTCAACTCACCTCAGAATGTGCAATTATTACTCTGGTATTTATTGAAATTCCTTCTATAATCAACATTGTTTTTGTTTGTCCAGGTCTATATAGAGCGTTTACTTAACTATGCTGAGATGGACCTTTGTCCATCAAATTGGAGAAGAGTGGTCTTAGGTTCCATAATGTTAGCCTCTAAGGTATTTCCATATACCTTCCTAGTTCTATAAAAAGTATTTGAGGTATGGGACGATCAGGCCGTTTGGAATGTTGATTACTGCCAAATCTTACGGGATACAAACGTCCATGACATGTATGTCTTATAGAGTTGCTTGTATTCAAACCATTTTTTGCAGGAATGAGCTTGAACGACGTTTTCTTGAGTGCCTAGACTTCAATATTGAGGTCCCGTCTTCGGTGTACGCTAAATATTATTTTGATTTGAGAACATTAGCACTAGCTAATGATTTGCAATTACCTGTACTACCTCTGAATAAAGAGAGAGCGAAGAAGTTGGAGGTTTGTGATGATCAACAGAATGCGACTAACAGTTGATTTCTAGGCTATGAACAGAGTGTTCGAAGACAAAGGTCATGTTTTCAAACGCAGTTATTCAGCCGAACGATTTCACCGAGAAAACAGAACACCAGCCGTTTTATCATAAAATCTGAAAACTTCTAAATTATATTCTCTCAACTCACAATATCGCGGAGCTTATCATAGCATATTGATGTGAGCATAATCAGTTGTTAAGGTTGCAATCTTGCATAAGTTACATAGCTTAGAATTAACTTGAAATCTTGTCATTACTAGTTCATAGCATACAGGTCTTAGGCCATCTTCCCATCGGAGTCTTTTATTTAATACGGACCTTTCCTACGATTGTCGAATTATCATTTTGTGGTTGCCGTTGTTATTGTGCAATGTTTTGCGTTTCCCAGTTTCGCTCCTTGGACAACATCTGCTGATCTTTTGACGAAAACTTCTTTTCTCAATCGTCCACGCGTTATTTATTCTTTTTAGGCGCGCATTTGTTTTACAATCACTATAATTTGTTATTTATATGTAAGTTATAAAACATACACTTCACACCATAAAGCTTGGCATTTGATCATTTCATAAACGGTTTTTGTATTTGTAGATCTCAATCCCATTATCTCTGTTACTACCTTAGTTTGATTATTATGACTGCTCAAGTATGTGTGACCACGGGCATAGTCATGGAGGCTGCGCAGGAGAAGCTCAGCAGTCTACTACACCAATCGTAATGAGATATGACATGCATCAATTTGTAGATAAGGACAAGGTTGTAAACCAAAACGTCAACATAATTCGAATATGTCTATAGGTTACTGTTCTTAACGAAGCCCAGGATGGTACAGGGAAACTTGTCTTTAAAGATATGGAGTCGAGACTGGATAGGTGCGAATAACGTTATGGATATTTGAATAGAAAAGATGACTAGGTCAACGTTCGTGTTGAGTGACTGTGATGAAGAGCTACTGTTTAATATTCCATTCACCGGACATGTGCGTCTAACAGGACTATCTATAATTGGCGAGGAAGAGTCGTCTCATCCGGCTATAATCCGGCTCTTCAAGGATAAACCGGCGGTGATAATTACTTATGTTCCAATGACCTATCCACTTTCCAGATGTCTTTCGACGACTGTTCAATTGAAGCTGATCAAGAAATCAGTTTAAAAATGGATCCACAAGGTATAAGATAACAAGTATATCAACCTGAACTTCCCAGTTTGAAGGTCAAATCGATTATCCTTTGAAAGCTTCCAAGTTCACCAATATTACTCATTTGTCTGTACAAGTAATTTTCATCTCACCGAAAGGGATATAACTATTGAATTGAAGGTTACCAAGAACTTCGGATCCGATGAGACGAAAGTTTTCTACATCGGTTTGCGTGGCGAATTTCAACACGACTTCCGTCAGAGAGTAAGTTGTATAATAATCAGATTAGATTCCACCCAATTAAGGCTATGACCCTCGAGCAAATCTCCTTTCGCACATCTTTTTAAAACGCTAAACCAACCCATTCACAATCGGCCTTTGTAACTTTTTTTTCTCCGTTCAAGTATTCAATCATTAAAGTACTAGCAGAAAAGAAAGCAAAGGCCATCGACGGCATTAGAAATGCGCAAAGGCTCAGATGGTCAATACCACTCATTTAACCCTTCTGTTACTTTTTATTAGGTAGCAGCTGACCTCTATATATATATATATATATTCACTGGCTTCTTCGCATGTCACCTGTCTTTTCACAAACATTTTCAATTGAGAACAACTGTTACCAAAAATGCATTCATCCAAAAGAAGCTTGCTGATAGACATGAGACAGCTTACACTGTTTGAATAGAAAACGCGACGCTTCCCTTATAATTAGCAACTTCACGATTATATAGATCCCATTCAAAATTTCCATTCTCACACTTGAAAGAAACTAGAAAATTTTGATACTGACGCAACATTTTTTTTCAGGTTGCGATTGCTACATACGAAGCTCGCGCTATTCCTGAAGACCACAAAGGTGAGATTCCTGAAGGAAATCATTTTGAAATGATGTGATTACGATGCTGAGTCATCTAACGTTTTTTATTACTGGTTGTACAGTATGAAAATAAAAATGATTAATTATATGGCAAGATAACTCGGTACAACCGTCCCAGCAATTCAAACGTGTCAAATGCGTTTGAAGTGTGGTTCTCTGTTTGAACACTCAAAAATTTGCATAAACACTAATTGGCGCCACTTGTAACATCAACATACAATCTCAAAAGATCTCTCGCCTATGAAAAAGCGCAACTGTTGTTGAGATTTATATTTATAACCGGGATTGTTCGCTGGAACTCACACAGAACAAAGCAAAACTATTTAAAGTGGCGATTAAGAACTGATTGAGGATTGTGGAATAGTAATCAACTATGTGTCCAGACAGAAACTCACCCGTACCCTATCTCTTCAATTTTTCTCTTCATGACGTAAAGGTTACGAAGAAACATAAGCTGGTGAGATTGCTCTCGATTTATACGATTGAATTTCACTTCAAAAAAGTTATTATCTAGCTGAGATGAAATAGTCAGCTCCATATGCAGGCCAAAACGTCCCAAAAGACCTATTTTTTAGAGAAACTCTTAACCTCATCTGGCCGTTCTAGCGGCTAGGTTCTTTGAGATTTTTCAGAGGCCCGACAAAGCGATAGCTGTAACTCACAACTGTGAATAGCATACTTCGCATACTTCTGATTTGGAAAAAAAAACATATCATGTCCGCATTTCCACCGGTGTTCAGTTTTTAGAATATTGTTAATGAGGCAGAGCGAATTCCAAAATGTAAGTAACTAACCTGGCTCGAGTTCAGAGTTGAAGAAGTAATTTGAAATTTGTAGAATTGTTCACGGACTTTCTCATCATCGCATTTTTCTATAAAAAAGTCATTCCCGCAAATAAGTGAAGATAACGCCAATGTACGTTGGAATGTCTTACTTCTATTAGTCTTGCTTTTCACTTTCTTTTATCATCAGCAGTGAGCGGTTGCATTCCTTTTCAGCTGCGACTTTGTCACAGGTTTTTCGATTGAATTCTAAGAACTTCAAATATTTTTTTACAATTGAAAGAGTTGAACAGTTGAAGGAGAAGTCCCTGGATACTAGATATCATCAACACGTAGAGAATGTGAGAAACCGAAGAGGAGAGCTTAGCTGTAAATTTTTATCTATAGAATTGCATCTGTTGGTTAAAAATTATAAATATAAATATTGTATTGAGTAAGAAGTCTAAGATAAAAAAGTCTGTGCAGGATTGAAATAGGTGACACGCAAACAATAAAAACAAAAAAAATCGTAAATGAACGAATACCGGATATACCCGAAATAATTGAAATAAGATATATTTACAAGTCAGTTTACAGTTACAGTCAAAAAGAGTTATAACTGTTCGCATTCGCTATGGCCATTACAGGAGGATTCGTTGCAATCGGATTAACTTTCTTAAAGAGTTCGTCCTGAATTCAAAATAGTTATTATATAGTTTTTTGGAATGAAAGATACCTTAATAGCTCTTCCCAGAGGTTGCCCTTTGATTTTAGCCATGGTGATTATATCAATGGCTGAAGCTGCCGGAGATGGAGATGGATCAATTGGCTTGGGCTCCGGAGCATTGATTATTGATGCCAACGTGCTCTGAAAAGAAAATATAACTAATTTATGAATAACTTAATGCCTTACCACAGACGAAGATGTTGATGGTGACGGCGAATGATTAGATTCAATCAAAGTCGTCATGACGGGAGATAACTTGGGAGGTGATAAGCTTTGACGAGAGACTGAGGGTGTAGATAGGGAGGATGGGGGACTAGGAGTTCTAAAGCTAGGGGGAACTAGGATGGCAGGAGGCACTTGAAGATCTGTTGAAATATTGGGAGAACTACTTTCGCTAGTCTTCAGCATTTTCGGAAAAGGTCCGTCCAGTTTCATAATATCAGAAACGCGTTTCTGGGGCGATGACCTCTGCTTCTCGATTGTTTTGTTACCTAAGGCACTAGAGATCACTGGAAACTTCACGTACACTTCTCCTGCTTTGCTGACTGATAACGGAATCTGAGCAACAGAGGACGATGTCGATTTCTTATCAGTCGGTGTTGGTAAACGAGCTGTCAAATCAGCAATAGCTGCTCCAAAGTTCGGATAAATAGTAGTTTTCATATCCTTATTCGGCCTGTTCACGTTTGCGGTTGGAAGAGATTGACGCGGAACAACTGCTAGCGATGGGATCGAGGCTTGTTGTTGTATCTTCATATCGGAAGAATTGCTCTGTGCTTTGGGCTTCGTGTTCATCTTGGCATTAGATATCGAAAGAACTTTCGCCAGCTCACTATTTTGAGTATCAGGCTTCGACTCAACTTTTTGCTGTATTTGAACTTGCGGGGTGTTAGAGGATTGATTAGTCAACTCTTGCACGCTTTCACTTTTTACGTTCACAGCTTGCGAAGGAATTCGAGTAGAAGGAGGAGTGCTCGTCGTAACTGCCGGAGCTGACAAAGTTACAGGGGTTGAAGGTGGAGCAGAAGACGCTACAATAGATACTGGGAAAAGAGGATTCATATTACTCAAAGGGGCTTGCATATCCAACTTCATCTTCTTCGTCATTTTCGACTTGGCTGTTCTCATAGTAACTGTAGCAGGATTTGATGAAACATTCCTGGGCGTTGTAGGTTTGGATGTTGCCTCAGGCGTTTTAACAGTGTGTACGTTGGAAAAATTCACAGTAGGTTGAAGTTTAGCGACGGTTTGCCCTTGTTGTCTTTGCAACTGCAAATGAATTTGATGTTGTTGATTCTGCTGTTGTTGCTGTGACATCATATAATGCTGAATACGTTGCATATCCTCTGCATTGATAGACAACGCTCCTCCGGTTCTCTGAAGAACAGGCATTTGTCCTCCAAACTGCGAAGGCAACGAAATAATTTTTGCCGGAGTGGAAGCTGGGCCATGTGCTTGAGTGTGGATCTGTATGGGGCTCGAGGTTAGTTGAGGCATACCGGCAATATGCGTTTGTGAATGAAGTAAAATTGGTGGGTGAGCAAAAACTTGTGCATGCGGATGAGATTGCACTGATATGGGCGTTTGAAGATGAGCTTGTGCCGGAATCACAGGTATTTGAATAGGTACATGTCCACCATTGGATACCTGAGCAAAAGGAATTTGGGGCGGTATTGATATTAAGGCGGGGTTAACAGGAGATAATACAGGAGGACCTTGCATTGGATGCTCCGAGCCCACTGATGCTCTCGTTAAAATAGGAGGTCCTCTATTGCTTGGGGCTGGTGGTGATATCCTATGAAGAGTTGGTGGACTAGGATGTTGTTGCGGTGATACAGCTTGAAGAATAGGAGGCTGATCCATATTGACCCGTTTCAGAACAAAAGGAGGGCGTTTGGATGATACAGGAGGACAGGATTCTTGAATTTGTTGCATTAGAGCAGAACTTGCAGGAATGACAATTCCAGGAGCTGTGTACTTGGGTGAGGTGATAGGAGTTGAAACTGCTTGAGCAACGCCAACAGAAGTTGATGGTGTTTCAGGTGATACCAGTGTTGGAGGTTCGCATGGTAACAGAATGGGGGGTGGTGTTTTCTCCGGGGTTAATGCTGGAGGTTTATCTTTCGCATCACTCTCCCGTTTGTTCTTAGAACCACTCGATTTGGGTGTTTGAATTAACTGAAACGAGTATATACACGAAAGTTGAAAGTTTTGGTACAAACTTTTTGCCTAATTTTCGGTGCTTGGTGACCGTTGCTATCAGTGAAGAGATCAACGTTTAAGTCAGGAGGAGTTACAAAATAGTTTCCGTCTTTAGGCTCTTGGATCCTCACAGGTGATTGATCACGAATCGGATCTTGCTCAGCCATTAGGATGGGCATCTGTTCTGCTTCTAACACAGGAGGTCGTTCCTAAAGTGAAAGTTAGAAACTATTCGCAACTGATAACATACCCTAGATGGGATAACAGTAAACATAAGACGAAGTGGCCTTTTTCGTAGCCATCCAGAACTATCGGCTAATGAGATTAAAGTGGTTTCTAAGGGAATCTCCTATAATTAAAAAATGAATGTGGATGTTCGTTTTGAGATTCATACCTTGTTAATCAGATTCTGTACAAAATGAACCGTGAAATCATCTTGATGGTTCAACTTTCCCTTTATTAAAGTATCAAATACGGTCAAAGGGGTACGGGATGGACAACGAAAAAACCTCCGAAAAATGGAGGAAGTCGGCATTGGAAACTTTTTTTTCTGCAATCAGAGCAATTAGAAAGGAAGTGAGAAGTTGGTTCAAACCTTTTTTTTCGTTGACTTCATGCATCTTGAAGTTGACGGTACATCTATTGGACAATCCTGAGAAAGAAACATGATTGATAATTCATTGCTTGTTCATCCTACCTCCTCATAATCATCGTCACTGAGCAATTCTACAGTCATGGGAATGCTAAAATACTCCAGTACAACAGAGATTTTCTCATCTTTATTAATAATATTACGTAGTCTGAAATGGGAGGAACGATGAAAGAAAAAAGAAAAGGAAATGCTTACACTTGGCGTTTGTTTTTAGCTCTCTCTTTCGAAGTAGTATTTTTACAAAAATTAGGGCAAAGTTTGAAAATTAAATGTTCAAACGATGGATCCATCAGAGCTCTGCAACAAAACGTTCGATCAGTTGGGAAGGTAAGTGACTTACTTTTATTATATTATACAGAACCAGTAGCTTGGTGGAGCAAGTATATACTGAAAGATAAAAAGTTCAATCGAATACAAGTATAATCTTACTTAATTAAAAACGATTGCAGCTATAATCTGATCTCTTCATATACAAACGTGAGTTTTCCTTGAACCCGCGAAATCTGAAACTCAGTTTGGTTCAAATCTTAATTACAACCGTTCTCTGCGTGTGCAGCTATAAAAATGATTCTGTCAATGATTACCGTAGCGCTGGGGTATGGGCTCAGCGCTCACGGTGTTTTCATTAAATTTTGATGATGCCTTCATTTATATAACCGAATTTATAGTGCAACCAATTATACAAAAAACCAACTCACTATTCCATTTCGGTTTCAGTGAACCACTGAAGGTTGCTAGTCAATGGTTGATATAAAAATCAATGGCAAGGCTAAGATATTCACCGGATACTGGAACAAGATGAGTAAATACATATATAAATAAAAAAATAGACGATATCCCTTCTATTAAGCTGATGAGTGCTGCCTGACCATGTGCGCACGCGAAGTCGCACGCGGTCAGTTTGGTAGCACATTTCAAAAATAACCACGTAATACTCAACATTGGAAAGATAATAAAACTGTATATGCATATTCGATGACAGAGGGAATTTTCAGGAAGAAGAAGATTGAGAGGTAAAGAAAAAAATTGATAAGCATTATGAAATGATAAGAATAAGCCACATTATCATTATGAGCTATTAATGATTAATACAGTAATCCAAACAGTGGATCAAGTCAGCATATTGATTAAACACGAAGCTGATAGATCTGTTGCCCACACACACCCTCCTTTCGACCCAACAACCAATGGGCGGATCGCACTAAACCACGCCCATCGTCTGAATTGTGATTGGTGGAAAGCTTAATAGGTCATAACTGATAATGTGAGCGGTGACAAAGGAACAAAAACGGATTTGTTATTAACAATTATCTTGAGGAGTCCAATGTGAGCTTCAACAAAGTGATTAACTCTTTAAACAAAGCTTATAGTGTGAAATTGCGTATGCCGGCTGAGGAGCCACAGTATTTGGGAAGTGGGAAGCGTCGCGACGCGAGCGTGTCCTATGTATTGACTCTTTTGTTACTATACTATTTCTCACAGCTATCTGGTCATAGGACCAATCAGCAGGACACACGGAAGAACCGCCCATATTCATCGTTCCGTTCTCTCTTGCTACTGCTAAACCACCCTCTTCTTGCCGTAAAAGCAGAAAGAAAAGCGAATGAGGAGAGAGGTTGAGAGAAAGAAAAGGCCGGACAGCCAGCGAAGCTATCTTTTTTTCTTTTCTCCTCTCTCTCGTTCTTTCTCAATTAGCCACGTGTGCTGCCTGTCTGGCTGTCTGCGCTCTCACTAACTCCAATGCTCTTGCATTATTCATACGACTAAAGGTCTCTCCGTCACGAATGGAAGATGGCGCAGAGAAAAACGAAGAGAGAAATAAAAATAAGGAGATAGAAAGAGTAAAAAGGAACCACGAGAGAGAAAGATAATAAAGTAAAAAGCAAAGAATCATCAGGCAAAAAGACAACAGTTATCTTCCTCGCTGACTTGTGTCCATTCTTCCCATTGGATCATCTTCATTTCTCATCATCTTAATCTCTCCGATGTCAGCGTTCTTAAAATCTTTCCCTCCCTCATTCCATTGTGTTGTTTGGCTGACGAGACGATTTTGGTTACGGTAGGTGATGAAAAAGGCCTCGGCCCCCTTCAATGAGTGCGTTGCGAATGCGACAGCGGCTGTGTGTGTTATGTGTAACTAGCCACAACCACCCTTCCCCACCCCACAACAGAAACGACAAGCGCGTAAAAGAGAAAAGTTGGAGAAATAGAAAAATCATTCCCTCCCTAGGCTTATAGCTCACATAATACACTTTCGGTGCATTTACCAAGTTGTTCACATACGGACGACGCAAGCTCTCAGGCGGTTGCAAGACTTCCGACTTCAAGAAACTCGACTTCTAGAGATCTAACTCCAAATATGACGACAATCCAAAACTCTTTTGGGCATCCTGATGAATTTTTTGAATCATGAGAGATGTGATTAGGCAGATGTGAACGACTACTAATTGAAACAGGAAATACTTTCAATTGTTCGGGACCCTCTTACTATCCCTTTCTATCTTGTTGTCCCCCTCTCAATCCCCTGGTTGCATCGATCATTAGATACTGTATACGGTACCATTAAAGGGCAGAGACTGCTATGTAAATTGAGAAGGATAAAAAGTAAATAGCTTCATCTGATAATACTGAGGAACAAAGGAACACTTTCGATTTAATATCTCTCATCTGGACAACAGGAGCCACACTCACCATGCTTTTTAAGATACTGGAGCTCATGTGTCTATACGGATGCTTCATAGATCATGCTCCATTTGAACACAAATGATAAATTCACTTACAATTCTTGAGCAAAAAAAATCTCTTCAAGAGACACGTCATGAGCGCTTTAGCATCGGACAAATGAGAGCCATTAGAAAAGCTGTCAGTCTTGGGTTATCAAATTATGAGAAACACAATAAATGATGCAGCTCTCTCTTGGTCTTTCCCCCCAGGAAGAGAGGAAGATGGAAAAATCTTATCCGCATCTCCAGGTTCTATTATCCTACTAATGATATAGCCAGTCAAGTTTGAAAAACAACATCCGGGCGAAAGTTCGAGGATAACTTGTTGGACATCAGAGGTCTCATTAGATACTAGAACGCTACAAATGAAAACCGTTTAAAGCCGGAAGACTGCTCGATCAGTCCTGAAAAGCTGATATTCTGATACGTTGGGAGAGAGTCACAAGCTTGAAACAGAAAAGAAATTGTTTTCGACAGATTGAGAAAGGAATTTGATCGGTGCATTGAGTGGTTCGAATCCTATGATACCCCCAGATTCTAATGAAGTCGTATGTCTATTTGTATTTCTAAATATTCTATTGTTAGAGAGAGGCTCCGAGATAAGATTTCTTTATTTTGGCCTCATCGTCTTGATTGAAGCATTAATGAGCTCAGTATGGCCACGACGTGTTAAGTAGCCATCTGATGTCTCTATGTCAAATGCTCCCATATTTAGATGCCGGCTTCCTCTTCTCACAAACACGATGCTCATAAGCTAATTCGGAGCTTCTATTTACAGCTTGTTCACCTAGTCATTTCGGGAATACCTACAAAGCTATCACACTTTCGGACTCCAACTTGCTATAACTGAACGCGCGGAATTCTCATTATTAGGCTTCTATTTCTCCTGTTTAAGACATAAAATCGATTGTTCCAAGAATGATGAAGTGCGAACCACCTTCATGTATAAAAATCATCTACATGCGTTCCCCCCATTCGTTCTTTGGGATGTGAGTGAAGCATAACGTTTGAAGATCATTCCTGCAGTGACTTATCTATGTGAGATTGATATAAAAACTGAGATGGAACACTCTTCACGCTCACGCTCGGACGAATGGATGGGTCTGCTTTCGAACCAAATTCCTTTTAGAGAAGAACAATTATGAGAAGGTCATGTCAGATGGCTCGCAAAAAAGGAGAGGATAGGGAGAGAAAACGCAAAATTTGATTCACAAACTTTGTTCTCTTAGTTGCATATCTTCGTGTATATGTGACTAAGAAACAACATAAGAGAAAAGAACAGGAAGCGGCTTGTTCAAATCGATTACGTCATCTCCATCAAATCTCTATCAATTTTAATAAGTTTGAAAATTTTTCATCAACCTGATCATGAGAACTGCGTTCCTAACGCCTGACGTCGAGGTGCAAAACTAAACATTTTAATTTTTCTCTTACATACAGAATAGATGAATCATATGAACGTCAAGATTTGACATTCAAGGTCAGTTGGTCAACTGCTCCAAATGGCAGTAAGATCATACAGTATGCTCTAGCCTTTTACTATTCACAGACATGTTGGGATCAGCCTCCACTTCTGTCAAATATGGCATAACAATATCCCAAATTCAAACATTCCTTGGAGCACCAATATGATTCTCACGCGTGGATTCTTATCTTTCATATTATCTGAAGTAGTACACTGTATGATAAGCGGTAGATTGGACAACGGCCTTGGGTAAATCAACGGGTGGATTAAGAGGATATTCAGATTTCGGTTTGGTGGGAGTTGAATAAAAACTCTGACAAATATATGAGATGTCCATACATCTATATGATCACAAGATGAATGAAAGTTTTCACTGCACATTCAACACATTCAATAGCTGAACAAAACATCATTCAGAGGATCCCGTTTATCCCAAAACCATATCTAACATCTGAACTGCTCCAGCCACTATCAACCTTCAGGAGCCAATTACTGTCAGGTTTGTACGTTTATCATGGTAGCGATGATCGGTGTTTTGAAAAAAAACTGGCATCCTCACAAACAATGGAACATAGATAGGGACAGTTAGCAATCACTCGGATGAAAACTCCTAAAACACTGAACTCGAAATATTTGCCTTACAAATAAGTTCTCTAACACATAACTTGATAAAGCAAACGAGAAGTTCGAAAAAAAAATCGAACAATAGGACTCACAACAAAGGACAAATGTGAATCTCGTTTCGACCATCGAAACAGAAGACTCAAGCTTCCGAGCGGGAAAAAAAAGTGAGAGAGATTCTCCTTACTTTGAACTTATCCGAAAGAGAAACCATAAGTGTTATTCGACGTCATTTTGTCTCAAACTCGTAAGGGAATTCCATCATGAGCTTCTTCACTTCTCTTAAAACCATAATTACAATAGATGAGAACTGAAGTACCAACTTGACTCTAGTAACCTCAGTCGTCTACCTAGGCTTTGCACTATATCTCATTCACAGATATCTGAGCCGAAGACATGGCAGCTTTCTGTTTGAGAAGATGTCTAAATATTCTTTGAGAGTAGCGTGCGAAGGCTGACATAATTCAACCATCAGCACAGAAGATATTTGGGGTTTTATCAGATTCGGCGAACTGCTCAAGCCTCCTTGTGAAAATGCATTTCTATTGGTTCTAAATGATATTTGGTTGTAAGCAAAATACAAACCTCAGTGTAGATGTGGAGATATTGAAAAGACTTCTCAACCAATCTTATTTCATGCAGAAGAAGCAATCTGTGAACGAAGGAGCTAATTTATACAACTTCATTGTTTGGAAAATTGAAAAATAAATTATCATCATTAAAGTTGATCTGCATGCACAACTTTCTTAACAAGATTACATTATTCTAACATTTGCAATATTACCAACAAGATTCGAATTGAAATAAAAAGAAATTTACATTGAATTTTAGATTCTTACTACATAGCGACGTCATCAAACAAGATAATTCCCAACCATACACCTTTCATATAATCACGGACGATAAATCTCTGGGGCTCTTTCTACAACATGTAGGTGAACATTCTTTAACGAACAATGGTCGAATAGTCTGTTGGGTTCCATTTCTTCAATTTGAGGGCGTGCTTTCTTAATAAACCCTCTCTTCCACGTCTTTCAGTTCTCCGTCAGATTCTGAACTTCATGATAATGAAGGAATATAGTTATGAGGTTCTCACCGTCTATTACAAGCCTGTCTTCATCTCCTACACTTGAACTATAATTCTCTGAATTACTGGAACACTGAAAAAACAAACAGATCAATTCCTAGAAAAAAAAAAGCGAACATCTGCTTCTTCAAATTTCTCATCGAATACTATCCGGGGCTTCTCTGATCCGTCAATCAACTGAAGAAAAAAATTCCAAAAATATATTTTAGCTGACTGACCGCGTCAGAGCTCGTTTCATTATTGCTTGAGCTTCCAAAACCAGGACGCCAAGATTCATATGGTTTGCGTTCAGGTGGCTCTTCTCCTTCTGGCCGATCTGATGAACCTCCAATAACAGATTGGTACACCAAAGCCTAAAACAGAAGAATAGAAGAAACCTTATGAGTGAACTTCCTTTTTTGAAGAAATTTACCTGGACACGGGATTGCATTGATTGCATTTTCTTATATTCAGTAACGTTAGATCCATAATTATAACAACTGAGGAAAGGGTTATTAAAGAAGAATCCAGATTTCTAGAAGAGGCATTATCATATCGGAAATGAGAGATGGCTATACTGGAGATTGTTGCCAAACACTGTCATCATTAGAATTCGTCGTCGAACTGCTAGGATTACGTCCGTTTCGCCTGAAAAGCTCTAATCAATTTGTAAATGTATGAACTAACGTACGGATTAGAAGAATTAGTAGTTGATTTACATACTGAGTCAGAGGTATGATCATTGGATGTCAAAGCAGTCCATTCACCAACCGAAGGTTTGCAATCGTTCCGAAGTGGAGACAATTTGGCATCCATCAAGGAAGGAACACACAGACCAGGCAACAATGATCTATTCAATCATGGTCAGTTGAAACTTTATTAAAACCAACTTTTTAACTTTGCTTACAACCGGCTCCCCGTCAGCCGCACGGACATCCCATCGTCTTCTTCTACTAAATGAAGTCAGTATCTTGTCATTAAACACAAACCTTCGATTATTTTCTCTTCCATTGGCATCGAAACTTATAGTTTCTTGAGAACTTTCAGAGTTGCTTAACGGTATACTCGTCACGGTTTCATTTTCATCCCTGACGTAAGAAGTTATACGAAAAAATAGTTTAATATTACTTTTTGCTTAAATCTTTGGTAGGTGAGGAGGCTGGTGGAGGTAATACGAAGTCCTGAGGTTCAGTGAAAGAAGGATTGTTCTTTTCAACCTCTTTGAGGAGAAGCAGAACTGAAGGTATGACTAGTTCTGAATCTAATTCTTCGTGAGTGTTTAACGATAGCGGAGATTTGGAGCCCTCGCGGTCCACAGGGCTATTTTCTTCTATTTCGTTTTTTTCAAGATCTTTAGAATTGGGAACTTCGAGATTCGTTTCTTTTTGGGCTGGTGGTTCAGAGCTATCAACTATGGGAACGTCTTTGCTGCCTAGGAACACTTCGTTTTCTTGCTCATTGCTCTCGTCTGGATTATCATTAACGGCAGAAAAGGAGAGAATTTCGCCATCTGAAAATTGCTAAAACAGAATGTGATAAATTTTTCCACTAAACCTTCAGTGCGAGAGACCCCCAACTCACAGTTGGAACTGTCATCAAGATTACAACTGAACAAAAACATCAGAACGCATAGGTTAAACAATTCTCACCTCTCTTTCATGGATTCATCATCCATCACAGTATACGAAGTATCTTTCTCTTGTTGGCTACAACTTATAAAACAATAATTGAACGTAAAGGTGTGCGTACCCTTCAGAATCCATCATTTCTTCCAGGCTAATAGTTTCAGTAGACTTATCTTCTGTTTCACAATCATACTTTGAGAAAAAACTATCTAAAACGAACATAATTAAAGAAGTTCAATGGGAAGAGCAACCTAAATGCGAAAAGGAGATAGAGGTACAAGTAGAGTTATCAACATCCGTTTGAACGGACCCTAAAATGGAAATAGAAGACGAGTTGGAGCAGAAAAGTTACGTGAGACTGGATTGATTTCAATCTGAACACCTCGATCGACGGTATCTTTGGAGAAATGGGAGAGAGAATCTACAATATGTTTTATATAGTATTTCTACTATTTCAAACCTATTTGATATCGAACAGCATCATTTAGAGTTTTTTGGAGAATGAGAAAAGCATTCTTCTCTCTATCGCGAACACTTCTTTTAGAAAGTTTGAACTGTAAGAAGGATTTGAGGTTTGCGGCCGAACTATCGAAGGCTTACCTCATCGCTTTTACATTTATGAAAACAGGCAACACTTTCGGACACAAACTTTTTCTCACACCTATCACAGTTATAAATGGAAAAACCACCTTAATGATAGAATTCGTGAAGCTACTCTCAACTTATACTACCTAAATGTACATCAGCGATGTGTTCACTCAATAATAATAAATCCCATTTCTCTTCAGAGTGGGCAGAAGCATTGGGTTGAGAAAGACATATAGGACAGGTAAAAACAGCCAAAATATCAAGTTGGCTTTCGTGAAGTTTCTGAAATACGAGACTCATTCACTGCTCGAGAACACAAGCTATTTTTTTTTATTTTGAATACTTTGAATTGGCATTTCTCAAACATTAAGATTTTTGGAAAAGAAAGATGAAAGAGGTTGTTTTGGCAGACGAAGTAGCTCTGTAAACTTGTAAAATCATCACGCCTTTTTCTAATCTAATTTGGAACTGATCAATCCACAGCTAACACAAAAAGTATAATTTATCTCTTTCGTTTATATTTTTAACAACTTCAACATTATCAAATATTACCTTCACTCCCGACTTGTCGTTTCCAACAGTCTGTCCAGCCAGAGCCATAGCTGAAAAAATTTTTTAATTGGAAATCAGAAGACTAATCAAAGGGAGATGTAACGATAAGGAAACGACATGACAAATTAATTTTAGATTTTTTCGTGATGTTTTCTCTAAAAAAATCCTGCAGAAGCACACTGGAATGAGATTGAAGAGAAAGAAAATATTGGTTTTGTATAGAGATTGATACTTCCGGATCAACAAACTGTAGACAAATGCCGATATATTTCTATCAGCAAGTCTCGAATCCGGTAACGATTACAATAACTGCCGCTTAGATCATAAAACAGGCGGGAAAACAATCAATAAACTTTTGTACTTGTCTGTCTGATACTGTAGACATCCGCAGGACTGGTAACTAGTAGTATACGAGTTTTGAATTTTTTCGCGCGCTACTGACAGTTACGTTGCCATTTGCAGTCACTTAGATGGGCGGGACGGTTGTTTTCTTTATCACTGTGAGTTTACTATTTTATCTCGCAGAACTTCCGTTTTCGACTATTATTACATTTATATCTGTGTTCATTCCAACACATTAATTGAGTTTTGAGTTTTTCCGACTGAAATAAACATGGTTATCTGTAAAGATAACAGGATACTGATAAAAAAGTTTATACTTTAAAAAATGACTAGGATGCATTCAATAAATACTTTTCTGACCATTTGAAAATTTCTGTAAACTATATACCCGAGGTCTAAGTGTCTTTTTGAAAAAACTAAGATTATGTCTAAAGCACTTTTTTGAAATATTAATGTTTTTTGGTCATTTTGAGACACAGAATTAGGTATACAGCTGCATTAGAGCTTTAATTATGTAATGACTCGTTCCATATTCACCAGCGGGGGCCGAGTCGTAAAAATGCTTGCAGATTCCCCTTGCTCCATCACATTTCTTTCCAGAAGCACAGCATTCCAGTACTATGGTTCCCATTTGTCTCTGAAAAGAAGAGTTAGAAGAACGTGACTGAATGTCATGAAACATTATGCTCAATGAAAATCTGATTCGAGCAGGTGATGATGTTATGAACTACTAATGGTCTGTCCGATGGTATTTGAGGGTGTGCACTACAAATCAGCTTATCTAAATGTCCGAGAAGCCAGATGGTTTCAACGACCTTAAAAGAAGCTAACTAATTATATTTCAATATGAAACTTATGAACCAGTTCACGATATTCTGGTTCGGCAATCTTGTTAAGTGTTTCTTCCACCTGTAGAGCGAACTTAATTTCTTTTCTGGTCATTTCTTGAGTCAACCCCCAATGTAAAGTGCTACTGTCTATAGTCAGGCCATGAGGCAATCGATGAACAGTATCCCATAGTGCCTATACATTACAAATAATACTTATATCTGAGAAGCACATACCGCATAAAAGTTTGGAGGTACACGATTCAACGCACCATCGATAATACGATGCCTGAGCCAAATGCCGAATTGGAATCCGGCGTTTTCATCCTCAAGTTCTTCTTCAGGCTGTTCTTGAACCGTCTGCCGCTGAACGCTCAAGTTTCGCATAGATTTTCTTAGCGACTTAAATATCTCTGCATCAATGTATGACTTCGAACTAAAAACCTTTCTCTCTTCTATCTGTCTTCTGAAAGATCCTATTCCAGTTCTTGTTTCTTTTGCTGCTCCTTCTTCCTCGACGTATTCTTCCAGGAGTCGACCACTCAGCAAAGAGAAGATCATAGATTTGAGTTCAAAAGGACTGACAGTCAGCAGTTTCTCTGCTGCATCCGCAGCTGAATATGATCGAATACGAGCTAATTCGGATGCCAACACCTTCAAGAACAGAAAAGTAACAATTAGATCGGAAAATTCTCACCTGAATTATGAGACCTATTCTAAGACGGAACATTTCACTGAAAAGTTTTGGTTCAGTGCGAACTAGAGATCCTAGAGATACTATGATTTCCTGTAAAATAATTCGTCTGCTACAGTAGTCAGGGGCTCTTACCTGACTGAGAGTGAAAGAGTTCGGATCGTCAGCGTACGCTCGAATCATGATGTCGGCCAGTTCTTCATTAGTTTTTGGACATGTAATGGCTTCCTCTTTTTTTGAAGGCATTCCTACAGTCACTTGCTTTTGTCGAACAAGTAGATGCGTAACTGATTTTCCTAGCTCTTCCAACTGCTTATTCAATAACCCTGCGGTCAGTCTGACTAGAGCCCAGTCGCGAGCCTCGCAAGCCTGAATATTTGTTGTATTATTTGGACTTCGTAGTATATGAATACTTTAGTATAAACTTCTTCCATCAAAGTTTTGATAGGGACACTCTGATCGTGTATCTTCGCGACGTATAGAGGACCGCTGAACATGGGAATAATAAGTTGAAGACTAGCTTAAAATGAAACATACAACTTCATCCACAAGCAATGAATTAAGGAAGCTTGCTCTTCCAGAACGACTGTCTCAAGCAACATTTCCAGAAGGTCGTCCGCTTTCATATCATTCATCTGAGCCATATCAGGCATGGAACTAAACAAGAGATTTCCAAATCAATCATAGCTCTTACAAACCTTTCACTATCTAACCGATTCCTTGTAGTAGTTGTCAAAACATTTCTTAGTTGTGAACTACTTCTTTCGCGAGTAGGCTTGGTCGGAACGGTTCTTGGCTCACGAGTGAGAACTTTGGAGGAAGACTTTTCGTCTAAACTCATATCTAGTTCACGTCCTCTGTCTTGATAGGCTAATCTCAATTTCACCAAATCTGATATATAATCATCAACTTTATAGTATTCAGACCCTCTTACCGCTATCATTACTGTCTAGCACTATTGAACGATGTCTCATGGAAGCTTTGTGAATTAATCCATATGAGCGTCTATTCTTTACTGATTCTCCCCTCTTGATTGTACGAGGAGAAACACCAGATTGAGTTCGATTATCTGAAAACACCCGAGTTGAAACAAGAGTGTATAAGCGGTTGCACTTTTCTTATCTACTTCTCCCGAAGGCAGAGTGAACTGAGCGACTTGGTTTCCACTGTCCTCGAGGACATCGCCAATATCCTCACGGAATTCCATTTTACTGACGGCTGTTGTACGGAAGAAGTCTGATATGTTTTTCATGACAATTCTGGAAATATTGATTACAAAGTAGGTGTGATCCATTGAACGAACCTAGCACCACCCAGGTAGCCTGTATGGATTTTTTTGATTGTCCCCATTACAGTGCTTTTCATATATTTGTTCATAGATATACTTGAGAAAATAGATGACCCATCCTGGAAATTCTAATCGATTAACAAAGAAACTGCCAGAACTCTTACTGTTGACAACATGTTTTGATTCACTACAAGAACAACCAAAGGTCGTCCACTAATACTAACTGAATTCCATGATGCGTAGATGTACTGTAGCTCAGAACTCCATTCGTCCATCAAAATACGGATATCAAACATTAAATGCGAACGTGTACGCTCCATGAACTGAACACAAAAATAAAATTGTATAAAAAGAAGTCTATCTTACCTGAGGTGTGAAAATAACGAACTTCTGCCCTATTTGGTATAGCTTACTGGTGCTTAGTAGCCCAACATCTCGATCTTCTGGACGACCAGTTAGGCATAACTTTTCTGATACTCCAACCCTGAAACATACAGAGGGATGAAACTGAGATCGTATAGAGTAGCTATACTTGGACAGAATATTCTGCAATGTCGAAGCGGGTCGAACTATGAACACTGGATCAATCTCATCAACACATTGCACACTGATGCCGTGAGATAGAAGTTCTTTTTGAACATCACTGGTCTCAGCTAATATTGTCACTGCAGAGAGAGAGGGAGTTCAGTCAAAGAGATTGAACATTTGGTAACCTTGTACTTCACATGGAGGTCTTTTTTCATAAACGGACAAACGACGACTAAGAGGATCTAATTCTGCTGGACTGAGAAAGCCTTCGTACAGCAGAGAGCACAGCACGTATAGAGACTGAGCCCATAGAAAAGGTCTGAAGATAACAAATGTCAGGAAAACAGCAGAAAACCATCATACACAGCTCCCGCAACAGATCTTGGTTGTGAACCCCTCTCATTCTTTTCTTGCGAAACATTATCCATTTCAACTTTGTACATTTCAGGCACTAGGCGATACCCTTCATCGTTAACTACTAAAACCTGAAATCAGACATGGATACTCGGAAGTTGGACAGATCTACTTACTTTATCTAACTGATTCCAATACTGTTCTATAGCTTCTTGATTTCTCGAGTACAGAGCATCAAGCAATAAAAAGCATAGAAAGACAGGCCATTCACACTCAATGTCTTCGAATCTTTGTAACTCAGATTTATTGTAATACAGACGCGTAGGATCCTGAAACAGATTTCTACTCGGTACTATTACTTTAAGTTACCTCCAGAACAGTTTTATATCCATCTCTGAGAAATCGTCTACACCCGTATTTACCCATTAGTTTCGAAGTTATCGTATCTCGTGTCTTTTCAATGAGCTCGGAGTCCTCGACAGAGAACGCTGGATAAGAGATTATAGACATCAAAGCTGCGTCCGTTTCCTGAATTATCACATTGAATGATATAACACTGTTGGAACTAACTTTACTGAACGACTCCCTGGGAAGCATACTTGATAGAACAGCAGAACACTGCTCAATCTCATCTGGGAGTACATGGATTACAGAAGCTTTTGACCCATCACCGAAGAGATCACCAACGTCATTCAATGCCTGAAAATCATTTTTCTAGCTGAATCCAATTGCACCTAACCTGCAGAGCAGCTTTCACCAGACCGATTGAACTAGCATTCAACTCTCTTATTCCCTGATTGGTTTTATCACCACGCTCCCATACACCAAAATCCTGAAAACTCAGAACTTCTTATGAGAGGAGAGATTAGTGTATACCGGTGTTTTATATCCCGTTTCTATGTAATAAACAAGGTTTTGTATAAAAGCGACTTCATCAAAGTTGCGAACAATTTGCAGACCTATAATGACCTTCAATTGCTCTGTACTCTTAATCAATTGTACCAGAAGCAGTTATCTGTGCTAGCGTAAGCAAAAATAAGGAAGTTGCATCCATTTGTAAATGACCCCATTCGTTGTCTCCGCAAACAGTATCTTAAGATTACTTCTATAGAGGTAAACCTAAAGATACGCACTTTTTGAAGATACTGAGTACTTTGCATGCAATGCGTCCATAGGTCTTTGGTACTTCTTGAACATTTCCACTTTGTCCGCTTGTCTCATCAAACATTCTAATATAGACTGCATCATTTTGACACTACAAAACAGATGAACTTTCTGAGTGACCAAATGGCACCTACCAGGTAAAACCAAGTTCATTAGCTTTTGTCAAATCTTCATCGAACTCCGCACTCTTCATGTATGCTCTGTAAAGAGCCCACAGAGAGTGAGCTATGTACACATTATCCCTTACCCAAGCATGCCCTTTTAAGATGAAGCTTATTATAGAAGAAACTAGCAATTCATCTACCTGGAAACTCCTTTTTATTTGCAAACAATGCAGTGACTGCGTTCTGGTGTTTCATAATAGTCTGCTCAACCATGAGGAGGATGCGGTCCAACCGGACACCAGATCCACTACGGGATCTCATCCCCACAAGCTACTTCCCGTAGTTCTAAAATTGGAAATTTGTGATGGAAGATAATTGAGAGTTGTTGAACGCATTTAATATAAAAGGCTATTCGTAAAAATAGGCTTCATTAGCGACAAATTGTATTAGCTCATAGTACCAGTTCTAAGCGTTTAGTTTTTCTCAACTTTACACTTACTGAAACGCATTAAAATAAGTTTTCAGTAAATTACCGCATTGCGCATTGAAAAGTAGGCGTGGCTAAATGCAAGGGTCGCATACTTCCGAGCTCATTGCTATAAACACATTCCCATCAAGAGTTTTGAATAAATTAAGAAAGGATGTCTAACGTTTTGCTCAAACTTTGTGATCCGGTTGCATTTTATGACAAGTTTCTCGCTAAAAGCATCTATCCAGATGGAAGATCCATTGAATCGTTTTGCCCAATTTCGTTTAAGGTATCGGACAGTATAGACCTTCTTATTCTGACTGATATTTTCTTAAGCGAGGTGTATCCGGAGGGATAGGCTCTTCTTTGGTTCGTCAAGGTGGAGTCACTGTTTCATGTTCAGCTGATGCTAATATTATGTTAAAAAACGATGGTCAACTAGTTATATCGAATATAGAAGCTCCATCTAGTGTCACTCAGGTTTCGTTTCGATTGAACAAGCTCACAAATAATATGTCCTTGTTTAAGAAAACATTGAATGAAATTACGGATTTGCTAGACGAGCTCTTTTCTCGTGACATTATCGTATCCCGTGATGAGTTGACTTGTAAGGGAACTGAAGAAACAGTTCCTCTCTGTTGGCAAATTACATTGAACATTAGGGTGAGTGGTGACGTAGACTTCAAATAGTTTGGCTTAGATTCTTAACAGTGATGGATGTCTCTCGGACGCGGTTATTGGAGCTGTAGCAACCACTTTGATGGATATTCAGTTACCGTTCATCGAACTGAAACATTCCAAGGATGATGAAGCACCCATTGAAAAGGAAGAGATTAAGATTCTGCCGGAAGTGATGATTCCTTTTTCTTCTTTTATTACAATATGCTCTCGTTTAGAAGTATAATCTTGAAGTACTAGATTTCCCCGTGTCTTCCACCTTCGCCTTATACGAATCCAATTCTGGACCAGAAAAAGTTTGTTATAATCATAAACAACAGGTGCATGAACAGTATTAAGATTTCTCGTTTATTATGTGATCCAACTGCCGAGCTTTTAGACTCGTGCAAAGTCACCTGTAACGTTATCATGGGCAAAAAAGGTTTTCTTGTAATAAATCAAGTTTGCTGATGATTCACTTCAGGGATTCTACTTTTACGCACGAGAGGATCGATCAACGACTCATCTCTTATCGCCCAAATAGTTGAATGGGCTGAAGGTAGAAGGAAGACAGTCGTTAAATCTTTCCAACACTAATCTTTGTTGTTTTATTTGTTGATCTGTTATTGTTTGATATTGAAAAGATTATCTTGTCTCTTCTTTACATTTCATTGAGGGATTTTCTGTCCCAGTGCTCATATCGTTACTAGTCTATCATCTCTTCTAATATAACTTTCATATAAGATGACCAATGGAGTTAATTTGAACAAAATTAAAGACAACATAGCCAAAACAAAAAAACTCGAGGTGAGTCATTTGTGAAGATTATTTTTCGAACTAATTTCTTTGAAAGCAAACATTGGGCTCCGACATTCAATACACTATGGCTATGATTGATTCGGACGATGAAGAAAATGAAAGTTTGAACAACGCATCTACACCTTCGAAACTGACATCCATGTTTGTACTATTATATTTCTTGTTTTTAATGTTCAATTATAGGCATTTGAGCAAGTTCAACGATGCAGTGTCAAGAGCCAACACCTTATTAGCCGATGATAGCGGGGAGAAAGTAACTATCAGCGCAACGTTTCGCAAACTCAACTTCATATGTTCTAATGAATTCCGTAAGGAAGTTTGAGATTAGTTAAATCATATCATAAATTCAGACTATGCTATCCATTCATTAGATGATGCGGAGAGGTATATTAACCAAGCTCAATCAACGCATGTTGATTTGTGGCTAAATTCAACTGGACATTTTCCCATGCATGGTTAGTAATCACTGACATACAAATTTGCATACGTCATTCTTCTTTCAGATATTTTTGATCGTGCTATGGCTAGTGTGGTACATGCACGGAATATTGCTGAACACAGTGGGAAAGGCCCTGATCTCAACTTAGTGAGTAACTATCACAAGACACCCGTTTAGTCACGATTTTCAGTGCTTAGCCTGGATAGCTTATGCTTGCCAAGGCCAAATAGGAGATATTGTTCCTCCTGGAGAACAATTTCCTGCATCAGTTCAATATATAGCCAGAAAACTCCGGTGGTGTGAATTACCAAAAGTTGCGAACAAAGAACGGGTCAATTTAGCTATATGTCAAGTTAGTTTCACTCTCAGTTGCCATGGTAACGGAACTCATTTAGATTTCCCGTGTTTTTGAATTTATATCTGTTTGTAATCTCTGCAATCAAAGTACAGAAGATAGAGCAATTCTTTTGTTCTCCGTTTCTCGGATAATCTTAGACAAATCGATGGAAGCTCACATACAATTTAAAGCGATTGATGTCATAGCAAATGTAAGAGATAATTGAGGGGATCACTAGTAACTTCCTATCTATTGAAGATCATCAATGCTAATTCGTTAAACAGAAGATCGGTCATTGTGGATTTCTCAAGACTCTTCTGCTTACTTTCAGGTATTTTTCTTTCTTTATGTACTCCATTTCGAAATTGCTGTCTCTTACACACTGTTGTGCAACATGTGAGAACCATATAAATTCAGACGATTTCTGCGCTTTGCGGTTTGTCTTCGAATGCTTTCGTCTGGCTCCTATTCCACCATATGCACTATTATGCCTCGTGGGTACAGCCTTCATATCAGCTAGTGAAAGAGCAGAATGTGAACCTGATTTCAATGTAAGTTCTGATAATGTTCCTTTCTTCTATGAAAGTTTATCTTGAAGGAGGCCATGACTGATGATGAACTAATCGATGCATATTTTTCGGTTATTACAGAAACATTCGTTGATGCTATGGAAGTATTTGCTAATGTAATCGTCGAAATTAAGTAAATGTGTTTGATTTTTTTGGTTTACAGGCTAAGATGAATCAATCCGCCCTACTTAACATGCTGGACGCTGCTCTCGTAAAGGATTTATTTGTATTAGATCACGCAAAAGGAAGTCGGCGTTTGGATGAAATCTCGAAAGTTACCGAACCGCTCACTGCGAAACTCGTAAGATTTCATTTATTTGGCTTATCTCATCCTTCTTCTACAGTATGAACGTAAAGGCAATCCTGATGAAGCTATGTTGGAGTCCCATCTTAGAACCTTAACTTCAAGACTTAATGTAATAGAACGTGTTATAACGGATCTCTGAAAGAATAGAAGATGTTTTGGTTATTATTGTTGCGTTTTGTAAATGCCAGAGGTGTATATGCTGTAAATAGAAGAAGTTTATTGGCAAAAAAAGATTATTATTGTGTTTATTATTATTATATGATACCGGTATGATTGGCTGCTTTCCTGTTGAATAAAAAGTTCTCAAAGTAATGTTTGTTAAGTTCCTGAATCGATCTCTTCCTCACCCTGATGTCTTAACTTCTCTCACACACTCCCACTTTCCGTAATCTCTCGCTGTTGTATTTGAAGTGACGTCATGTTCAAATTGCAGTCTGTTGTGCAATAGGGGCGGAGCGTATCCCCACGATAGCGCTCGCAGTCTTTCTGATTTCAATATACCTCTACCTCGTGGTCGTTCCGGCTTGTTTTGTCCGATTTTCGTCTAGTTTTGTGATTTTCAATGCTTCCACTCTGAATTTTAAAAAATTATAAACCTTTACGCGTGTCTGTGGTATATCCCAACGCCACAACGCCAATCGATAATATGACTCATCATTCGATCATGTGCCTTTTTGAAGAAAATCCTAAAATTTGTGTATTTTAGGTTTCGTTACCTTTCAAACAGGACCGTTTCGAGGTCCACTTCCAGCTCCCAGCCTATTGGTCAGCTCATAAGCGCTTCGCCGTTGCTTAGTAACCTTTTTCTCCCAGGTGATTATATATTCTATTTTTTTGTTCTAATCAATGAATTTTTCAGCTTTAAACCACCAGTCGCCTTAGCGCGCTCGTTTGTCTTCCGACCCTTTCGAAGACTTACTCAATCATAACTTTCAACCAGAATGGCACAATATAACTCAACCATGTTCGCTCAACAACCTGGCCAGTCCAAGGCCGGATGCACTCGCCTTTTTGGCGAGGCCTCAGCCGCCAGAGCCGGTAAGAGAAGATGTTGCTGAATGTTAACTATTCCGAAATCTTAGCCCAACCATATCCCGAACTCCGCCGACTCCCCGTCGCCGCACGACAATGTTTGGTTCCAGCATCCTTAGTACGCATTCGATCAAGAAAATGAAATCTTTATCAACTTCTTTCAGTTGGCATTACGAACTTCCCGAGGATACGTTAAACTGCGAGTTAATTACGACGACGACCGAAATCAGACAGCGAATAGACAGCGGGAACAGTACTTATTCGAGAATAGTTCCTTCACCAATGACAAGCTCTCCTCCAATGACTGCTCACTTGTGGAACGAGAACACAAGTTGTATTTTGAACGGTGAGGAGTTCATTGAGAAAAGAGTATGGAACATTGAAATTGTAGACGATATGGCTATGGAAGCCCAACCGGCAATGCAGGCCACTTGGCCATGTGCGACTGATTCACAAGGTGAGAAAATGTGAAAGTAACTGATATAAACCGAATATGCATCAGATTGTGGACCGATATACTCGCGATACGCTCAATTTGAAGCTACAGATATTGATATCGACAATATGTCTAACTGCGATATTTCTGATCTGGACCAGTATTTACACGCAGATAATCTTCAACCTTCAACTTCTTATAATGTTGATTTACCTCAGCAACCTGACAATAATCTTTTACAAGAGTTCTTTACTTCTAAATCAAGTAGAGATTCTTCTCCTTCTTCTATCGAGTGGCAATCTTCTCCATCTCCTCCTTCTGAGTCATACTCTGGCTCTAGCTATACTTCAGCATCTACCTCAGGTGTTAAGAAAGATAACTTATATAGAGTGAGAAGAGATAAGAATAATCTTGCCTCTAAAAAATCTCGAGCTAAGCGACAAGATAAGATTAAAGAAATGAAAGCCTTGTCTTCATCTTTAGAGAAACGTAATGTTGAACTTAAAGCTAAGGTATCTTCTCTCGAAGCATTGGTTGAAGATTATAAGAAAACTATGCTTATGTTAATGTCCAGAAACACATAATATTTATTTCTTTTGTCACATATACAGTTGTTAGATGTAGTTCTCCTCATATATTTTCTGAAATGTTGTCCATGTTATCTTTTGGTCTCTGTAATACGGTATTTTTTTAATAATAAACATGAAGTACAACAAATGGGTGTTATACTTATTTCCGGCGTCCACGAATGAGTCGATTACATTTAATTTTCATTTCGAGAATGAAGACTCAGCATGCGGTTGTGTTGTTACGTACATAATCTAATAACGATAACTCACTCGAGTACGTATCAGGGGAAGTTATTTATGACGTTGGCTCTTCGTCATTATCATATTAAATAGATAATAGATGTCAACGATATAGAAAAGAATAACAGCATTAGGAAATGTTGAATAATGCCATATTCAATAGAACCATATGAAACCTTTCCACTCTTTACCCGATACGTTTTTTTGTATTTTTCAGCTGTTTTCATGCTCTAGAAAAGCCAAAATATGCCTCAGCTAATGAAAAAGTCTTCATTTTTGAGAATCTGAATCTAAAAGGATCTGCAGGCATTTAATTTTCTTCTCGAAGAATTCATTGAAACTTCAGAAAAGCATTTATAAGACACTCACTTAATGAAGGAAATAAAGAAAGTGATAGATATAACACGGAAATTTTCAAAAAGAATACCAGACGAACAAATTGCTTACATTCAGAAAAGTGTTCAAAATTAGAAAACAAAACTTCCTAGACGATGTGCAGAAAAAAGACTTAGGTAAGGCAAGCTTCGATAAGCAATGGTACGCTGGCTTCAACTGTTAATGCACTTCTTTCAGTTCGTTTCTCATATTGTTTTCTTTTTGCAAGAAGCATTAATGGGGTATTGAGAAGTTTCTCTTCTTTCACATTCTCGACGATTCTCATCTGATTCTTTGAATGCCAATAAGCCAAAGTCTATAGCAGAATGACCTCAGGGAAAGTTCATTATATTGAGGAATTAGAATGACGAGAAAGGTGAGACAGAACATGAAGGTAAGTTTCAATGACTAGCTCGTCTTCCTTTCACAATTACAGTCATAACAAGGTCATGCGTGACAATAATAATAACAGGAGTATAGCAACCATACCTAACTACCGAAGAAGTAGGCACAGCACACTTACTTTTTCCATATAAGCGCGCACTCGCACTTTACCTATGAGATAGTGTAAGATTGTGTTTTTGAGCTTAATCAGATCTCATTATATTTCCTCTTAGTGGGATCTGAATGAACATAGTTTATGAAAACCAATATTTACCAGGTCATATCTCTCCTCTTATTGTTCTCTCTGCTCATTTTTCATGTTAATTTAACTGTCCCCCCTCTTGTCAAATAATTACTGAGTGTTCTTCTCTTTTCCATCTACCGCATGTGTTAATTAGAATACTATAGAACAATAAATATATAATGTCATCTACACACAGACTATTTTGATTTATTTTCTGTTTGTCCAGATTTTGACCTCTCCAACCCAAAAAAGTGCATTAGTAGAGCCAATCTTTAGCTCTAACAGTCAATTCCCCTATACTAACTAGTCATTTCTATGTTACAGGTCTTTTCAACGATGCAATTTAATTTGTTAGTTTTCACAAGTATTCTCACTTTGAGTTCCAGTCAGTTTCTGACTAATACAATTCCGAACATCACCGGTAAGTAGCTGTCTTCGGCGGCATTCAACAAAAACGGAAAATTGCAGATGTGTCAGCCATGTGCAGTAGTGAAGGAATAACCGCAGCCATTGACTTCTCAGACAAATTTTCGGGAAAAATATATTCATTAGACTATGCAACAATTCATGATTGTGTTTATTTCAATAGTTTGGATACTAGGACTGTACTATTCTCGATTCCCGCTCATCGCTGCGGCACGAAGTTATCGCGAACTTCGAGAAATGTAAGTGCTGAACTTCAAAGGTATTGGCAGCAAGCAACAAGCGCTTCGAGTTAGTCTTAATAACACATGGCACTTGATGTACATCCTTCAGTTGACAAGCCACAGTTACATAAAATAAAAATCCAGTTCTTTTTGACTCTTTCTTTCAATGGCAATGTCATGTGTCCATCGACAGCCTAGAAGATATTTCTATGAAGAGTTAGAATCTGAAGTTCGAGAAAATGTAAACCAACATCCGAAAAAGCAGCTGCTATAATTAGGTTTATAGCTAGACAAGTTATTGTGGTCAAGGTCCCCTGTTCAATTTAGTTTTAAAGAGAAGAGGACGAAATTAATATTTGCCCTTTTTCCAGATCATCGACCAGATGGAGAACAGAGTCTATGTTCAGATGGATAAAGATATGCAATCAGCTGCAGATAAACAGTTCAACTTCATTTGTCAGCTATCAGATGGACGAATGTATGAAACAACAAACAAAGAGCAAACTTTACAACACTTATAGATCAAAAACTGTTCGGCGACATCCCATGCGCGATTCGTATGTTGTAGCATCAGATGCCAAGGGAATGGGGGAGCCTATAAAACCTGTAAACAGCACTTCGCACATTTATCTCACCTCACCGTATTCTTTGAAGAAAGAAGTACGAATAGCTGCTTCCTCTGACATAACCTTTGGCAACTGGCCGATCCCAGGATCCAAGCCATATAATCCATCAATGAAACCATCAGCAGTGTTCCCGAAGCTGCCTGTAGCTGGTATTATTAATTATGCCACTTCGCCTGCATGTGAGTAACTCGTTCATGAATGCGAAGTTAACATTTTAATTCAGCGATTACATCGAATCACTTAAGTTCAGCTCAACAGTTCTTCCTCAGTGAGCCGATAAAGGCTAATGTTTTAGGTGTTTCTAACGTCATACTTCTCTCAACACAGTCAAATTTTACAGACCACTATCCATCACCATCAACCTACAACCAGCACTTACCGTTAACTAATCCTATTCAAGCCACAATAAGAAGAGCCCCTGCAAATCCCTCATTACCAACAGTCTCTTCAGAAAATTATGTTCGTCCACCGATCAATAATTATATATCTTCATCATTTGCCAAAAGTATTCGAAACGTTTCAGCAAACGTTCATTCATTCTTTGCAGATCCCCCAATCATTCCATTAAAGTCACCAATACTGGAAGCTACAACTGTTCCAAGTGATTTTGTAAACTTTATATGAAAACAACTTAAAGAATTTTTCAGATAAGTACGTCGAAACCCCACAATTACCCATTAACCCTGACATTCACATTAAACAAGGAATCGGAATGGGCGCCGTTATGGGGCATCACTCAGCTACGCCAGTAAGTGTGTCACCCATATGAGATACGGCGCATCAATTTGAGCGCCTGTTCGATTGCTATGAGAGTCAAGTTCTCTGGTTCCTTTGCAATATTCCGTGAAAATCTTTCGCCTTTTACTAAAGATTTCCGTGCATAGGGACGCATATGAGTGTAACTCATTTTTTGGAATCCCCTCGAAAGAGCGGGACACAAGTTCGAAAATTCATAAGAAGATTTAGGTTCCTGCAAGAACATGGAACTTGGGTCAAGTAACAATGCCATCTAATGCATATGAGACAACACCGTCAAACACGCGCAGAAAGTTCATAGAAGAGCCTAAACGAGTTGGAGTAGAGTTTACAAACGATGTGAACGAGAACACAATAACAGTAAGCGAAGATAGGTAGGTCCATACTAAAGTTCAACTTCAAAATTATTATTATTAGTACTCCTAAAGTCCATTTAATATCCACGCAAGAACACTTCGCTCCTCATGCTAACGTCCAACTTGAAATTCAGGAGGGAAACGGTAGAATATTTGTCTTTTCAAATGTCATGAATATACTTAGGTCCTTTCGGTACTGCTGTTTCAAAACCAGTCAAGATCGGTGAAAACATCACTTTGGTAGTGAGAGCGCTATCTCAAATGAGAGGTATCTTCATTCATATGTATCAACATACATAACTTATTAAGATAAGAACATGTATGATATGTTTGTTCATTCTTGCTTTGCCACTGATGGTCCTGGAACAACCAAGATTGATTTGATCGACAGAGATGGGTAAACTGCCTTCTTAAGCATAAGTGTTACTTGTTGATCTTCAGTTGTGTTATCAGAAAAGAATTTGTATCTCCATTGAAACGAACCAGAAACGATACTCAGATACTGTATTACTTCCACATATCTGCCTTTAAGTTCCCCGGACCGGATGATGTCTACTTTTCATGTTCGATAGAGTTAACACCATTACGTTCAGCTCCAGTAATATCATAACACCTAGCCGTTCCCCTAACAACAAGTTTTTAGGAAATATGTACAACGCAGAGAAGAACGAAGAGAGATGTTTCTCAAGACATGCGCCTCTTTGACATTGTTAAAGTAGAGCTGGCGGAGAAGTACGAAAACGACAAATTGATTGCAGGTAGTGTATAACTTAAAAGTTAATAATAATCCAAAGCTTTTAGCCGAAAGCCAGATGTATTGTGGATCTCAATCTTTCATCATCTTCGTAACTTCAATAGTTTTCTGTGTTCTAATAGCGTTTACCGTATCCACCACCATCGCTATAACACTAAATGCGAAGCTTCGTTCATTACAAATGAAATTATAGAAACTCCATCCACCCAATCATTGGATTTCTCAAAACTTCACCGATCTCGGTTTTTCTTAGGTTATTACTGGTTGTTATTTCACATTTAATGTAAACTTGAATAAATAGATTTGAACGAATCTGTAACTTATGACATCTCAAGCAAGTGGAGAGGCTTCTTCTGGCAAGTATGAAGCTCTTGCAAAACATTCTCGCTCCATACAACCAGATAATCGTGTATATATATGAATAAGCGTCAAAAATCACAGATTCTGCCACATGTCTGCTCCAGTGCGAAAAGGGCACTGTGCGGGAAACGGTAGTGTCCCAATACGCACGCGCGCGAAGGTTCAATTTTCAAAACTGCTAATTCTCCTGCTTAACCTTACAGCTTCAACTTCTACCAGCATATTGTTTTGTATATATTAAAGTTCATAAAATGACTACTGCATTCGAAACTTCTGCTTTAAATAACTTTTTGCCGGATTATTACAAAAGCATATTTCCCTTCAAACCTTATACGAAATGGCTATGTTATGGTAAAAGTAAGTGGTTTTCTAATTTCAAATTCCCTTGAAACGATTGTTAAGAAGCAAATGAGTACTTCAACAGAAGAGAATTCGCATTTATCTTAGAAGGGGATGTGCACTTGCGTTATCGTAGTTTTGGCGAAGCTTGCGAGTTTGAGAAAGAGCTATGCAAAGTCTCTCCGCACAAACTCGACGTAGGAGCTGTTTATAATTATACCGTATGTTACTTCCTCAGACTAGAGATGTTTTCTTTATTTAGCCAAGAGACAATCGAAGTAGGCAAGATTTTAAAGCTATTGAGAGAGAACTCGTTTTCGATATTGATCTTACTGATTATGACGTTGTCCGCACATGTTGCTCGTATGTTGAACAATCTAAAACCTTGAAGAGCTACCATTTTAGGGAAGCCAAAGTGTGTTCCAAATGTTGGAAGTTCATAGTAGCAGCTGTAATCACGTTGGATAGGGCTTTGAGAGGTATATATGCCTACAAACTTTGTTTATCTTCTTATTCTTAAGATGATTTTGCTTTCCAAGCTAGAATGTGGGTTTTCTCAGGAAGACGTGGAGTCCATTGCTGGGTTGGTGATGAAAAAGCAAGAAAGTTGAATCATGCTGGAAGAACAGCTGTGGCAGAATACCTCTCCCTTGTTATCGTAAGGAAGTAATTTGGAAGGAAATTACATTACTGTTTAGGGTGATAAACTAGGTTTCTCCATCGCCCCGAAACTCAAAGGACAACCTAAACCTTTGCACCCTTCAGTTTCTAATGCTTACAGAACACTGATGGATGATGGTTTCATGGATGAAATGGTTTTTTAATTTTAAAAATTCAATTATCAAGCTTATTAGGTTATGGAACAAGAATGGCTGGATGGTGACGTGACAAATATTCTTGCCAAAATTAATGATAAAAGTTTCCGAGATCGCATCGCTCGTGATTTTGAAGGGTTTATCCATAATTCTGGGCTTAGTTCTCAAGCCAGCCGTTTAGATTATCCGCCAAGCAGAGATGGAAGTACTTGAAACTTCAATTCGACTCGGTTGCCAGAGAAAACGCTGTTGAAGAAGGCTGTAAATTGCCTGAGGTTTAGTTCAGGTTCAAGTTATTGCAAACTGTTTCTTTTACAGCTTCCTCCACTATTCGACAGATTTTTCTTGGAGTGGTTTGTTCTGTGGCACTGCTACCCAAGACTCGACGTGAATGTATCTACTGGTAACTTTAAAATAATAATTTTCTTCATTTCTTTGATGAATAGGTGTTAACCATTTATTGAAATCTCCTTTCTGTATCCACCCGAAAACAGGTAATGTAGCTGTTCCTTTGGATGTGGAGACTATCAAAGACTTTAATCTGAATAGCTGTCCAAGAATAGAGTATGATGAACTCTGCATTAGTATATGCATGATTTTGATTTCAGTTTATTAATAAAAGAATTAGCTGAGGAGCTACAGAATGAAGATGTGAAGGAGAATCGCAAGCTTCTGGGTGAGTCTCTTCAGGGCCTTTTTTATAATCCATTTGAATTTTGCAGGATATAAGCATACATCCTTAGCACCTTATGTTGAAAACTTTGAAAAATTTGTTCATCTGGCTACTAACACGAAATAACCATTCACCACCATGATAAGTAAGCTGTGAATACGAAATAAATTATTAACCTTTCTTTTTCTTTTTTTTCTTCTCGAGGTTCTTCTCCTGTGTTCATCTTCATATAATAGAGCATTTCTGCTCCGATTTGAACATTTGATAGTATTCAGCAAACCGTATCTATTTCTCTTCTCCGTGTTAATTTAACTGCTCATCTTTACAATAAACGACCGTTGCTGATAAGGATAGGTTCATTCGAATCGTTCCATGTTCATCCTGACTCCTAAATTGCGAAAGCGCACCCCGTGAAGTTAAGCATGTGTGTAGATTAGAGTTTTAGCCTCGATTCCAGGATCATGCTGTAATGATTTATCAGATTTTTGGCAATTCGAAAATGCTTGTTTCTACAACAACATTCGTATATTGACAATTTCTGTTTTCATTTAATCTTCACAAGTTTTCGGGGTTCAATTCAACAGACGTTATAAAGCGAGACTTGTGTTATCACATTTTTTTGTGAGCTAGCCATGGAGAGGGAGAGAAGCATATCAGTAGAGGCACATAGATAATTCTATAGAACATTTCTATTGTATCATATCAGCGACGTCCTAGATTTTTATTTATGAGTTTGGATGGCAGAAGTTTCAAGTTGTCAAATGACTCCTCTTGAGGCAAACATTTACGATTTCGGTTTAAGAGTGAGATGTTAGTCAAGGTAAGGGAAACCGTATGATTGACGCACAGAACGGTTGTTTCATCAAGCCACACACATGGCTTCTATCTTCTACAGCGAACAGACAGACATATGAAGGCGTAAATAGTGACTGAATACAACAGCTGTCGAAAAGAGCGAAGGTCGTCCGACGAATAGACGCGTGGAGGTCAGAGGGCGAGTAGACACTAGAGGAATGTAGAGATTGCAGACACCGCCACGCACCAACTGATGCGGCGCGGTCGAGCGCAACCAATTTTTGGGCCCAAAATCTCCCAGCCAGCTGGTTTTTACATGCCAGCCATAATGTTGCTGACGACTATATCAGCTGTATTCGTGGCTTTTACATGCACCGTCCTGTTATCTTACTTTCTCTTCTCTGGTTCTTTCATGGTTCTCAGTGTGCATTGCTATATCAGCTGCGCTTCCTACCTTTTTTGGTTATTATTAAGCATGAGATACTTCAAGAGTAACCTTAATGTAGTTTACTATTTTTTGTTTTAAGTAACGGAAGTGTTGTATACTTATACTCTTCCTATTGAGATCCATTGAGCTCAATACTCTTCTTTTTGTAGCTTTGTTTAGTTTTTTTTGCCAGCCGCTACTGATCTCACAGCTGTGTGGTAGAGGGATTGATTTTGCTAATTTTAAAAGATATCGTGTTTGTTTCAGCTTTCAGTTTTCTCATTCCGTCAAAGCATTCTTCCGAAATTTCTAGAAGTTTGACTTCCTTCTATGCACTAAACTTGCTCTTGTTCCTCATCTTATAAGTATTACGATTTCTCTCTGAAGGTAACCCCGGCGGCTTGGTGGCCTTAGCTGAAAGAACGTAGAGATGGTTAGATCTGAAAGTCCAGATGACGAGGTAGCAACTACCATTGTGGGGAAGTATGAAGATGTGGATGAGGATGACGCATCTCCTCAGTCACGGTGGCCGCCAGCACAGGGTGGAAATGGTTTACCGCAAAGGTTAGTTAGTTTTCTTCATTCTTTGCTCACTTTTGACTTCGATGTGTTCTCACTAGCGTTTCCATAGAGTTATTATTACGTTTTGATAGTTCAACTCGTTTGAAAGTTGTATGCAAATGTTTTATGAGCGTTTTAAATCCTATTTCTCCGAAAGAATTAGATCAATCTCAGTTTTGCATAAGCTATCAGTTCCTCCGTGGAATGCATGAACTTATTTTTCGAAATAAGATGGGTCTATCCTGTGTTTGAACTGCTATATATGGAACTTTATTATACTATATGGTTTTTCTCTCCAATGCAACAACCATATATACACGCAACTGCGCGTGACCATTACCTTATCAGCTAGTGAGTGTCTCTCGGGACATGGTATTAGTACCTGTTGCTTCCTCTTTGTCTTTTTATTTGTAGGGTTGTAAGAGGGCTAAGGCCATATACGTAGTGATAGTAATAGAAGAAAGGTGGCAATTCTGATCACACCAACAGTTGAAGCTTGATAAGTCACAGTTTTGGTTCTCCCTGCTTCCTCCATGCTAGAGTGTAAGCAGCAGCAGAGAAAGAGAGTAGAGTGGTTCCAGGTGTTTCCAGCTTCTACTTATGCCCCACTTTTTACTTTCACATATTTATGTTTGCATTCAACCAGATTGACTCTCATGTCTGATAGGCAGATTGATGATAAGACTTTTCTTGTCTAACGTATCAAGAAACAGCTGGATTTTGAGATTTTCTTTTTCGAAAGAAGTCGAGTAAATCGCGTAGTTCCTTTCTTTGAAAGGAACAGATTTTATTGGAGAGTAGGAAAGCTTGTCAGTGTACTTGGCTGATTTCAAGGGCAGATAAGGTGTTGGAAACCGTTTTCCTTGATTCTGAAGTGTTTTTAATGTGAAAGCTTTTTTTTTTTACAAGCAAAGCCTCAGCCTTACGGGATGGGAAAGGGGTACCAACGTTTTTTCGTTCAATGCACTACATTTCGTTATGTCTCTTCTTTCCGTCCTTGATACTTGTAACCTAGCAAGAATTTGTGAAGCTACGTTCTTACAAATATATTAGATATGGCAATGCATTTTCTGTCCACTTCCAAATATATCAGTTTCGACTAATTCTCAAAGGCGTTTTGTCGGCTGGTTTCCCGGGAGAGTTGAAGTAGTTGCGAGAGCATGGTCTTGTCTTTCTTGTCTATCAAACTTGAAACAATGTGCGAACAAAGTTGGCATGAACGAACCACCGCTCAAACTGTTATCAGCTGTTTATCACTTGCAAACCTTCTCTTCTGAAGTTGTAGAAGACATTATAGTGAAACCACTACGTGTTAAAGGTTTTCTCAAAAATGAATTGACGTCTTACTGCTTGATCATATAAGGTGTGAATCGGGATTTACAAATATGGATATAGAGAATCATATATGTACGAAACGGGGATGATGATTTCCATTTTTTTAAATGTATACTGAGAACCCTGAGGGTTTTATTCGAGAATTGAGGATAATTTTATATTTTTTCATCTGGTTTGTAACGGAAGTATTGGGAGCAGATGTGACAACGGTTTTTGGTCATTACTCAGGGTGGCCGGGCAGCTGGGTCCCCGAACTTTTTATCATTTTATCGGGTTATCTGCTCATCGTTATAGCAAAACTGCTCTTTGCCCTTCTACAATTTTTTGAAATAATTTGATGAGGAAGGGAGAGATGAGATGCTCTCTTGAGGATGACTATGTCTTCTGTTTACTTGTTATTTGATTCAAAACAGTTTGCTTCTATTTTAAGGTATACGACAGTCATATTGTCTTTCTTTACTCTTTATGACCTTGTCTTATCTCTTTTTTCATTTCAACATTCTGCCTTAGTCGCCGGAGCGATGTCTTCTTAGTATGAAGTCGAATTGGATCATTATCGAAAAAGGAATGAAGTCGACCTCCCAAATTATCCGTTGCAGAGTGTTCGCTTCTATGAATTTATTGTGACTCTTCTCTCAGTTTGTTTCTGTGTGTTAGCATCCTCTTCCATTCTTCTATGTTTCTCTCTCAATTTGATGAAATGAACTAGAAAAAGATGATACGAAGTTTGAGTCAGATGGGGCATTTGCCAGAAATCACACACATTCCATTTCACCCCCATGGTTCGGCATGAATTGTGCTAACGCGATAGTAGGGTGATAAGTCCGTAGAGCACATAAAGAGAAGCCATGTGATAGGCATGATTGGGGAATCGGGAAGATTAGAAACGTAATTTCACGTAAGCTGCTTAATACAAACACCCACCTTCCCTTTTTTTTCCCGGAAGAGTTTGTTAGAAACAGCTTTTGTTGCATAGCTCAACAGCTGATCTTCACGACTGACGAACATGTGACTGTCATCTAGAGGTTAGCCGTCCAAAAAATTGTGTAAAATTCAAGAAATTTTCTGGGCTCATTCTCCTATTGTTGTAATACCAGGATTGAATTTGTTTCTATTGTTGCTTCTATGGGGAGAAAATTCCATGAGGACCAAAGTGCGATAGAAAACGAGAATACAATGAAAGTCGAACAACTTGAAATTAATACTGATATCTTCTTTTTCATATTAATAATTTTTCCAGACCACATTCTCGAAGTGCCTCGTCGGTATCACCCACTTCCGCTGATTCAGATAGACGATTACGGCGTCAGATAGCTAACTGTAATGAAAGGCGCAGGATGCAGTCCATCAATGCCGGCTTCCAATCATTACGATCACTGCTTCCCCGAAAAGTATTTTCGATTTTTCACTTGATAATAATCAATTTTAATGAAAGTCTCTTAAGGAAGGAGAAAAGCTATCCAAAGCTGCCATCTTGCAGCAAACCGCTGACCTGATTCATCAGCTACAGGGTGATAGGCAACGTTTAATGATGGATCGTGATGGTGCTGGGGGCAAAAAAGCGAAGCTGGATGGTTTGTAAATTCCGTGGTCGCACCTCACGAACGCTTTCTAGGGTCAGATTTCTTTGATCTGGAGCAGCGCTCTCTGATAGATCGACTGCAGATCGCTCTTGAAAGAGAACGTAGTAATAGGATTCTTCTAGAACAACAAATTAATCAGTTACGTGATCAAATGATACACACTCAGGTGAGGTTGATGTATGATCACTATGATTATCCAATTTACTGCAGAGTAACATGAGTCCTGAAAGTCCACAGAAAGTTCTCCCGAATACACTCGGGAGTGTCTGTTCTGCTCCAACTGTAACAACACCTAGTCAAGCTTCAGTTATTAGACCTACGCCACTGCCGCCCATTTCCGGTAAGTGTTCGAAAAAAATATAATTGATAAGATATTGATACACTACATATTCCAACCGTTTTGCTTGATGTTTGAAATATAAAATGACGCGCGATTGCGTGGGTCACGTTTTCCACGTCACACGTGTTGATAAAAGTAAAAAACAAAATGTTCAACTTTTCAGTCGATGTGTCTACACGTGTGAGCACAACTACAACATCTGTGCCCCTCTCGGCATCGCCTCTACCTGTCCCCCCTGCTATTAACTTACCATCTCTTCCGTCATCTTCGTTAGCAGCGATTTCAAGTTCTCCCTCTGCGTTCACCACTTCCACCTTTACGCCTCACCATTCATTACAAACAATACTGGATGCCATTCGTCAGTTAGAAGGTGGTAACATAGCTACACTATCACCACCACCACCATCATCGCAGGCACCTCTTGTTAGGTAACAATGATGTTATTACATTAGTTGAGTTGTTTCAACAGAAACTGAGAGCTAAACTCTTGTTTTCTGATGTTAGTTACTCCCCGATTTGTTATAATGCTTTCCCCTCCCTTAAGCTGGCAAACTGCCAAAATTGGCCATTCGTTTTTTAACGATAAAAAACGAACCAATTTGAGTCGTCCCGCGGCCGGCTCGCAAACTTCCCTCTTTAAGTACCTCTTTTTTTAAATTTCCGTCCTACAATCTATAGTCATAAGAAGTTCTAGTTATGTCTTTGCTGTGTCCTTATAGCTGTGCTCTGCTGCAGCTATGTTGCTGGTATAGAACTCAATCCTTTTCCAGTGGGGATAACATCCGTTTTCATAACTCTCTTCTCATAATGATTCATTAGAGTAATCAGTCTAAAGACCGGTGCTGTTAACTGATGCCAAAAATACGTTGTTTTGTTATTTTCAATTAATCATCTTTTCATATTCCAATAATCATTCGGCTTAGGTGTCACCGAACTGTTCTCTTCATTCTCTGGACGGCTTACGTCTTCAGAATAACCATAGTTGAGTAACAGACTTTTGATTCACAGGTTCCCCCATTGTTTTGAGCTATTAAACCTCTATAGCATGCTAGTTCAGAGTTACACCTCTTCATTTTCCCTTCCCTGCACTTTTTTACTTTTCTAGTCTGTTATATAACAATAAGGTAGGGTCTACCTACTTCCCTCCTTCTATATCCTATTTCGTGTTCCCAGTTGTTTTGGGTAAGCCAATGTTGAACATCTATGTTATCTCTCTACCTGAAGTTCTTTCGTATCCGAACTGGCAGAGTTACAGTAGAAATCTGATTTCAGATATACTGAACACCTCGTTAGTTTTTGTTTTTTAGTTCTAATTACTGTTATATTGTTTTGTTCAACAATGTTCTGCTTCACCCTATCCCTATAGACCCCATATACAATTCCCCTTCTATTTCTTCTATAAGTTACAGAGATCCTTTCAAGCTATCCCTTCACTGCAGACCTCGTTTTCACATCTTTCTTTTAATACTGTTGGCTTCTCTATATTTCAAATCCTGATACTCTTTTCGAGATGAAATCAATTAGGTTTGACGTCAAATTGATTGTCAAATAACATCGAACAAACTTTTCAATTCTAAGAAGTCATAAGCTTATCCTGTTAGAATACTAGTCAGGTTGTTTTCTTTTGTTGATTTCTGTTGTCCTCTGTGAGGCAACTGTGGTAAGCTGACTTCTCAAAACTGAAAATTCTCTCGATTTTTTCTCGAAATCGACCATTCATTTGGTTAAAGTTTTGTGTTGATATCATGTGTCTTTCTTAGATTTGAAACTAGCTTTGTCCTACTCAAGGAGTTTGTCATGCTTCCTTACTCTTTGTCATCGTTCATTTCCATCAAAAGAAACAAGCAAAGTTTAAATTTTCTATTCAAAAGTGTCCTTGAAGAGTGACCATATATTACTATAGATTCCCTATTAATCCCGCGTGTTAGATTATCCTGTAACAGGACTCAATTCCTACTACCTGGTCCTTATGCTAGTTGTCCCGATTGTGTTAAAAGCTTAGAGTAAGCGTTTTTTTATATTTTTTTTTCTTTAAAAAAAAACGCTTATTGGATAGTTTTTAGTGCATATAAGCCTACGGTTAGAATTTTTCATTACGGTAATGGTTATTTTTGCAAATTTTTATTGCTGTTTTCTTAATCAGGTAATCAAGTACTTCCATCGTCTTCCCCGAACATGGATTTCTATCTTCTCAAAATATCTTGAAATCTCAGATTCATTTATATTACCCCTTAGCTTAATCTAAACCCACACCATCCCCATGTTTGTTTTCCTTTAATTTATAAAACTTTTTTGTGGCTTCTCACAATTCCTTTTCAACCCGTTTTTTTTTTGCAATTCGCTGCGTTGTTGTTTCATTTTGTCTTTGGAAATAAATGTTGATCATGAAAGTACATATATAGTTTGTCATTTAACAATGATTCCTGCGAATCCCGATACAACGAGGAAAAAGGTGAACCTGTAAGAATTGGTTAAGGTACTGTGGGTATGAACTCACAAAGAGATTGCTAGATTAGCGACCAAAATATCGCGAAAAACTGTAGTTTGAGGTTTTGTAGTCTTCTGGTCCTCTAACTTATCTGTTTTTATAACAGAACGTTGTTTGGGTATCTGAAATTTATATAATTTTGATATTGGTGATGAAAACGGCTGACCCCGCTGACGAATACGGCTTCTACGTGCCTAGGATCCGTCGCCGTAGTCTCAAAAACTATTGCGAACTCCAGCAAAGGTGTCTCGGTCAATTGAATTGGAAGGATCTTGGAAGGTGTTAGAAAATGATCTGAGACTTGACGTAGTTCCATCATCTTGAAATGGATAACGTATACAGCTATGATAAGGAAGTTACGGTTGGAGATACGAAGTGTATTTGGAAATTGCATGTTAAATGGCTGACTTCATACTTATCTGTAAAACAAGAATGTACGCATCCAAAATACTATCCAAACTCAGTAAAGTCGTTCCATGATATAAGTGCAGTTCTTGAGTTTGGATGAGCTTCGGCGAGGATGGTTTTTGTACAAGGAAAGTTAGAGTTACGTCTGCCAGAGTTCGTCTTTGCTCGTAATAGAAGAATCCCAACATTATTCTGAATGACGCGAACGTCGAGAAATCTGGAACATAATCTTACTTGCTATGAGGGGCTATAAAGGCGGGGTTGCAAGAAATTTGATATGTCAAGCCTGTGGATAGAGCAAAAAATGTCAAGTTAGTTCTGTGGTACTTAGCCATTCTGGAAGCCGGAATATAACTGAAAAGAATCAAAGTTCCTACTAATGAGAATGCGCTTACGTTGGCTCAATTTCGGCATATCTAAGACCTGCATCAAATAAGTATTGAAGATAAACTATGAAAGAAACTCATTACCACAATTTGAAGGAGCAGCCAAAAAAACAAAGAACAAGAAGAATATTTTCAAACGATCGACCACATTCCAATCCATTAGTTATGTATTTGATGTACGTGAATCACTACTACGTGAACGTGGGTTTTGTGAGTTATGCTAATGACCTTACATCATGTTTTCATATTCGGAGGAACGGTTGTTCTGTTGTTCACATGTTGTTATTGATTACTGTCCAATTCAATCTCATCACAATTTTGTAAATTTTATAAATTTTTATTATATTTATTTACATCAGGAAACGTTGGGAGACACTTGTTGAAAGAAATGTTCGATAATGGTGTTCGGGGAAATCAACGTTCTCTTCGACATCATACTTCTTCCTTTTTCTTTGCTCAAAAAGAGCCAATCAACTAGTTTCGTAATTTCAGTTATCTGTTATATTCCTTAATTAATTCTTTAGATGACAATAGGTTACCTTATCTCGAGATTTGCAGTATTGCATCAGCCAATGGAAGTAAATGGATAATAAAGGTATGGCAAAGGATAACGCTGGCTCATTCTCGCCTGTCAGAAACAATACCTGACTATGAAGTGTGATGATGGCTTACCTAATTTACAGAATATTATGCAAATCGTTAATCGAACCTCTTCTGTGTCCAAGTCTACCTTGACTTCCGCTGGATAATCTTGCTGAGAGAGAGAGAGAGAGAAGTTTTAATTTTGATCAAATAGCTCTTACCACCAGCTTTTTCAGTGCTGAATCCCTACTAGTAGCCAACAAAAAATCAAAGAATATTCCATAATTACGCAACAGTATTGCCTGGAAGCAGGTATTCAGTTTGTGATTTTCATTGGCTTCGAGAGAAAGGTTCCCGTCCTAATGCTTAATGTCGAGTGTAAAATTATTTTTGCTATTTGGTTGGGCTGATCTTTTGTGTTTTCTTTTGTTTTTAGAACTAAAGAGTATAATTCAGTTGTTGCAGGTTTTTTTCTGCAACTTTACATTTTTGTATTTTTCCTGATGCGAAAGAGACCATTAATCACCAGACTAATGAAGTGTTATGGAGAAAGTGAGGAAAATGAACATCTCGTCGTGCTTTACCTTTCTATCCTCTAGAGTAGTGAAAGATAATAGAACTGAGCTATTACAAGCGTGCAACATGGCAATAAAAAGCGCATCAGCTGCAACTAGATATAGATATGGCGTAAATGAGAGAGAATGCTTAGACTTACTGACTTGATCGCTTTGTGTACGAGATTGTTCCCTGTCATCCCCATTATCTTCACTACATTGCGCCGAATTAGTTTTCAAATAATGCTTACGAGGCCCGCGCTCCCGTTGGACAGCTTCAAATGAAAAATGAATGATGTATTCCGATTACTACTTCATGATCATCGTCATCTATTACTAATTGCGACCAGTTGGATGCAAGTTTTCGAGCCACCACTAAGATGTATTATCAACTAAGAAACTGTTTTCAATAGATCATCTTGACACTTTTCTTTTCACAACTTCCCTCTTCTCGATTTGTTGCTGATTCAAGAAGAAGTTTTGTTGTGCTAACTTAGGTTCGAAAATGAGAGTGAAATCAAGGATTGTAGACTTTGTTGGTGTTTTTGGCTTCTTTGTGGATAACTCAAGTTGGATAATTGAATTAAAACCTTGAGAATTCATATTTAGTCGAAAGCACTTTGCTAGTCGACAAGCAGGACACCAGTTCCTTCTCGTTTTATCAATTACGCAGTTGTCCAACCCAGCTGAAATAGTTTGTGAAGTTCATTAGGTTTGAGCTTCTGGCTCACAAATGCAGGAATATTGAATGTTCTTACGGACAGATCGTTTGAAAAAACATGAACAGCCATCACAAGTCCATAATCCATAGTGACGGCCATATGATCGATCACCACACACTTGGCAAGGCATTGTGGCGATTTGGCTTCGTCCTGCATATCATCTAATTTTGAAGTAAAATATATTAATCTTTTACCCATAACTGCAGGTTTATACAGCTAAAGCAAATCGGCGGACAAGAGTTTGCTCACTCCATAGCCAATTAAGCTTCATGGTTATATACCTATCTTTGTAACCTTATACGCTTAAGCTTTATTAACTATGCAACTTCTCCGTCTCATGATTTTTCCCCATTTTCTAACGAAAGACAAATATAGTACGAATAATACTTCTGTAGCGAAAATATTCCCCGTCCGTTCACTTAGGGAAAGATGTGAGATTTTAAAATTTTCGGAATCGGATTAGATTCATTATATATCGAGATTGTGTAATCTCATGTTCGTCTCTAGTATTTCTTAGCCTTTTGAAGCTGTTTTCGCACATGTTGGAAATCCTGCAAATTTACATTTATGAAAACATGCAGGCTTTCTCCATAGAAAACAAGAATTGGAGCGATTGTGGCTCTCTTATCGGAAGAGCTATCCTTATCAGCCGGCAATCTCAAAGGTTATCACCATCTCGCTCAGTACGTGATAACCTTTTTTCGAAATCGCACAGGTATCTCTACTCAGGTGGGAATATGTTATTGAATAGAGTGAAGTTGATAGATAAAGCATATTGAGATGATTGGAGATGTTATCTCAGTTCCGGGAATATGCTAATTAGACGTTTTATTATTTATAAATGACAACTACAATCATGTGCGACAGTCCGAAAAGAAAAAGAAAATTATGCTTTGTTTATCTATTAAGACGAAGTAAAAACAACTATTAAGAATTCGAACAGGCATGATTTATCGTTTTCTCCAATATTCTTCTAACTTTAAGTAGCTAGAACAATGTCGACAAATCACAATTGCACTAGAAATTAAACGAGATGATACTCAGTGTCAAAAACTATCTAAACATTATCTATTTTTTAAAAAAAAAAGTGAGAAAGTGAGAACAGGACAGAAAAAATGGAAAGTTGGCTCACGGGGAAAAATAATTAAAGTGAAAGCTCATCGATATCGACTATCCAGCATTCATTCCGCGAACCTTGAATTTTTAATTTTCTATTTTACATATTCATTATAGATACTCACCTGGCCGTTCTTTCTTTGCTCTTCCAGCTCACGTTGAGCTTTGTCTTCAATGGCACGAATATCAACCATCGTCAAGCCATGCCACTGGTCAATCCAGCAGAATACTTCACGATGGAACTTAGAGAACAGGCGGGGGTATTGCTAAATTACAAATGTCAACGTATGAATCATGTGGAATTTGTACTGTGTGGGTGTAGCTTTCGACCATGCTTTGTAATCCAAACCATTTGAAGTGAACAGTCACTAACTTGTAAGCACACATCACTGGCTGACAAGTTTCCTTCCAATTGCCTGTTAGTGGACCACTACAATCATTTATCTTAGTTAACGTTCACTCTTTAGTACAAACCGGCCAGTTTTTAAACTGTTGAACTTTGATGGAGTGGTTTCTGGTTTGATGTCAGCTGAGTTCAGATGTTCGGAGTCACTTGAGATATCAATGTGAACAACGTTTCTTTTCGCTAAAGTAGCGGCGTCCAAGTTGTGGGCCTGAAAAACATCGATGGTTAACTCATAGTGCATGAAGCTTAACAAACATTCTCAGTTGTACCACGGTCGGGAAGATGGATTGTTTCTACTTTAACAAAGAAAGCATCTTTCATATAATCAGGGTTCTGAAAGAAAAAAAGTAAAATTCGTTATTGCACTAAAGGACATACTGTCAAAACAGTTTTACAATAAGGATAGGCATTCCAAGCTTCTTCATGTATGGCTAGTGAACCTTTGGGAGCGATTTTACGAATGATTGTTGGCACTTTACTAAAAACAAACCAAAATGATGATATCAGAACTCTCACTTGACTTACGATTGTAAATGATAAATTTTATGAGTATATTGGCCTTTGTTATATTGGCCACCAAGAAGAGGAACATCGTCAAAAGGCTCATTCTTCAACACCTTAACAATATGACATAACAGTATTGCTAACACATTGAGAGCAAATATACCTCTACACCTTCTCCACCGCCTGTTTCAGCTTTGGAAGCTTCAGCCACAGACCAAAGTTGTCCAACTTGATATTCTTCAACATTGAAGGGGAGAACGATTCGACTGAAAGAGATTCAATTTTAATCGATATGATCTCATGATCAAATGTGAGATCAACTTACTATTCTTTAATTATCATAGCAGCTTACAAAAAAGAAACTAGAATGGAACTAGAAGCCACTCTATGCGACCTGTAACAAGTTGAAACGTGAGACAGAATGATGGCACCGCTATTCATTAAGAAAATTTTTCGACAAAATACAAGTTACACAGAAACAATGGCTTCAAATTTTCCAACAAGACGACTGAGAAAGACTTGGAACGAAGCGAAAAAAAATCGTCAAGCGACTAACCAACCGGATAAGCGCAAAGATCTACGAAGGATAAAGCAGGTACTCAATGCCTATTCCCATCAAGACAATAAGCAATGAAGCATAAAAATAGAGTGAAGCATGCAACGAGGAAAGACTAAAAAATTCATTATCACCCCGGCGCTATGCAGACCTATCGATCGTGCGCAGGCCAGAGTTGGAGCATGAGACAAAAGAACATAATTGTGCAGCGCGCAGAGTGAGGATGCCGACGCCTCAAAAAACTTATCATAGTTGAGAATTATCAAAAAAATGAGAAGAACGAGCCCGCTCTTGAGGAAACCATAGCGACACCATGTCCCGATGACGTCATATTTTAAATGTGCTGTTATCGTTGCGAGACTTTTAAATGTGCGAGCCGAATACAAGAAAAGATTTTAAACAAAATTCAAATTACATTTTCGTATATATTGAATTAATGCACAATATGAATGAACTTATAAATCTCCAAAGAATTTTTGGTTTCATGATTTCTGTTATTTTCAGTGATGAGTGTATCTGAGCCAAGTGATGAAGCAGCAGGAGCTGCTCATTTACAAACAATATTAAGTTTAATACAATCTCTAACTAAAGTTGATGGTATGTAAGAAACAAGGGAATGAATATGGAAAAATACTTTATAGAAAGAAAATTACAACATGTCGATAGGGACCCTTTGATAGCGGGGTTATTACAATTTCGCGAGGTTAGTTCACTATTTCGAGCAGCAAACGTATTTCTCGTCTAGATCATGTTCGATCATGAAGAAGAAATTAAATATTGGTTCGGCTCAACGTTACATCTCGATCTAGAATTTGATACAGCTACTCCTAAACAGGATCCTCGAGCTCTTTTTGGACAATGCTTGACTATTCTTTACAACAGAGTAAGTTATCATAAGAATGACATTTTCATTTTACGGCTTTAAGCTCTCCACTCATTTGAGTTCTTTAAAAACTAAAGTTGCGGATCAATTTATTATATTATCAGTGCCTGAAATTAAAATGATCTCCGGATCGCTACAGTTCTATATTGTGTCTCAATGTTTACCATACTTAGATGAAGGTAATGTTCAAACGGTAATCGTTCGATAACAAACAACTTATCCATTCATCAGGCGTCGGTATTGATATTAGAAAGAGATCGAAGTTTATAAAGATGTGGACAAGAAAAGTAAAAAGTTCTTCTGTTCAATGCGAGCAAGTAGGTTAGCTTCTGTTAGGTTGTAAATCGTTCTTGCTGTCTTCAGCTCATTGTTGCCTTTAAAACATTGCGATCTCTGATGGAATGCAATGAAGCTATCGAAGCTCATATTTTGAAATATCATGTTCAGGATGTTCTCGCGATTTATGAGCAGGTTTTTTTCTTCCGTTTCAACTCATAACCTCTGTTTCTTAGGTTCGTCATATCAGCAACTCGAATGGAGTCGAATTACATGTTCAAGAGGATGTGTTTCACACTGTTCCTAAACCAATTTTAATTCCAACTATAATTGGTATGCTGAAAGCAGCACCACCTTCTTGGCTCGCGGTTTGATTGAATTTTTTTTGAAATTATCAATCGTATCCAGACTGCTTTGGGTAAACGTTTGAGCGATGAATTGATGGCAGAAGGTGGCCTTCGCAATATTATTGACGCTTACGCTGAATTATGTTAGTTTTTGATTATTTCCCTCAATGAATTCCAAATTTAGGCGACGATATGTGGGGTCGAGCTCCTCTGTTGGGACTGATTGCAAGGCAAATCGCAACTCCTCCATCTTGTCAACCAATCGGTATTTATTACGAGAACATCATCGAGCAATTTATCATATTGACTACGGTATGTCGATTAGTTCATTGTTGACCAAATCTTGACTGTAAACTATTAGGTTCGCGTTTACCCTAAACCCGGATTAGCATGTTTGTTATCGTCTTTTGTTCAAGAAGTATATATCAGATCTCCTCCATTATGTAACTCCCTCATAGTCGACAGGTTATTCTTACCTTGGGAGGTAAGGTACTGTGTATGAATTGTTTATTGGATTGTTTACTTAGACTATATACAATGAGAAGAAGGAGTCTTGTGAACTGGAAAAGAAGCATCTCTCAGCTATTACTGCTCTTTCTTTACTTCTGGACGACAAGCTTATGCCTCGAGTTTTGATGGAGTGCAAAAGATTACCTCCAGTAAGTTTTTTAGTTGGTTGAGCTTAACCGAATGAGCTTTTTCAGTTGGTTCCTTTATTACTTGACATAGTCAGCAGTAAGATAGATAATCCTGTTAGAGCCATTTTAACTTTACGCGAGAACGCTGTGAAAATTCTTATCGGAACCATTGATCGTATTGTCAACAAGGTATGAAGCAATATATCCAACACATATTCATCAAAACTACGTAGGGTGAATTTGTGATGTGTTTGTTACGTATCAATAGTGGTAGTCGATTTAAAGTGACTAGTAAATCTCAAAAGAAATGGGTTGAAGTGATAGATCCCAAGAAGGTGACCATGTCCTTGGATGAAGGTTAGTCTGTTTTTTCTGTTACGGAGTTAAACTGTTATCATTAGATTGTCCCGTTATGATGGAGCATGAGTATACTTATGAGATGGAAAAGTTGTTGATCAGTCGACTTGAAGCCTTATTCACGCTACCTGATGTGAGTTGTTTGAAGTGGAGAGAACTCACTTTACGTCTGCGAGATTTAGGTCAATAGAATGGCTCATATGAATATTGAAATTCTATGCGAGTTCATGGAAATGTGGATGAAATCAGACGACCTCGATGCAGAAAAAGCTGAAGATGGTGACGGGACTCCAAAAATCAGTAAAAAAACCGATTGTGTTCCAGCTTCTATCTGCGGTTTTCAGATTTCGATTGTTTAGCATCTCATGTATTTGGTACAATCTTCTTTGATAGATTGATCACTGATATGGACACGTCCAATCCTCATGTTATCAAATCAGTAACCAAATTTGTGACGGTACTCAGTTTAAGAAGACAGTACTTCTTAAGATCTGTTTTTAAGATAACGTTCAAATGTTGTGTCAAGACGATTCGTCAACTGGAAGAACACCAGAAGAAGTTCGATATCGTTCGCAGGGATCATCTGGACGAAGTTACAGATCGAGCTACTCTGTACCAAATAAGAATAGACTCCCTGAAAGTAGCCTTGAATCTTTCATCAGCTATCATAACCACCGAGGCATTGAATGATACAGTAGGAGGCAACTTTGCTTTTTGTTCATACTTTCTACTTTAGTTCTCCGATGATGTGCTCGGATTAGCCCAACAACTGATTGAAGTTAAAAACTTAGAAACAAAGAGTGAAGATCTCAAGAAAATTATTCGTCACGCTGCTGAGCTTCTTGATATTATGGAAGTCGTACGTGGAGGCAAACCTCTAACTGAGGCAGAACCAAAGAAGGTGAAATTCCCTGCAAAGCCTGAACGATCGTAAGTGCTCGATGGAATAGTTTGTACAAGTCCAGTTGATTTTTCAGCGGAGATCTGCAAGATCTACTTAACGTTTTGAGTAAAGTCGAACTTACGTGCCCAGATGCTTTAGCCATAGCAGGACATTCACTTCTATGCTTAACTCAAGGAGTTAGAAATAGGGAAGAGAAGTATCTTGAGGTTATCGACAGGTGGATTTTGAATATCGCAAAAAGTAAGTTGGTTAACAGTTTTTCTGATCTTATCTTTCCTTATCATAGATTTCATCACTCATGAGGATACTTATGTTTCTTTAAACGCTGTCAATCTTCTCACTGAAATAGTGAATTACGCTCCAAAATATTTAACGCACATGCTTGAACTAATAAAGACAGGAGAAAAAGAGAAAGAACTGGAAGCAGAGGTATTTTGGTTGGAAAAGGTTCTTTTTAAACAAACTCATTTCAAGATTGTTGAGAAGAACATTATTTTGAAGATCAATGTTGGAGAAGCTGTAAGCAAAGTTTTCAAAGTCATGGGTATCTCATCTTTCTAATGTTAATACTTAGGTTTCTATATAGGTTCTGCTGCGACTATGTATATCGATGAAGCAGCTTCTGTTTTGATCGATGAAATGCAGAAAGGTCCGGATCTCACACGTGCGAGTGCATTCACATGCTTTTCTGAAATAGTTCTCGCGTGCAGAGGACGTAATATAGCTAAACATTTTGCCTTTGTAAGCATTTAGTGATGTACATATCCTGATATAATGACATTCAGCTAAACGCGGCGATTATGCAGGGAATGAGTCCAAGTGAACCAATTCTTATTCGTAGGGCAGCCATATTCTTATGCCGTCAATACCTTAAATCTTGTGGGTCGGATCTAGTTGAAGTGAGTGACTTCTGTGTCTATGAGTAAACATTTTATGCTTTGAAGATTTGTGGGCCATATCTGAGGGATTTGAGAAGGACTCTAGTCAGAATCTGGGAAGTCGATCAGGATAATGTGATGCGTGTTCACGCTCAAATTTGTATCGAAGAAATTCAAAACTGTCTCAAATCCAACATTGAACAAACACTAAGTTATCAATTCAAGAAAGTTAACATGTAGATCTCATTGTTGTTACTTGTATGTAAATATGATCTCAATTCATACTGTTCATTTGAACATGGAAAAGATTTCCCATCTTTCAATACCTGATATAATGTTTTTGCTCATACTAGTTTCAATTAGATAGTTGGCCATGGACGGCCTAGCCAGCTCATTGGAAGTTATTGCTTGTGTGGATGAGTTCTATACCACTACAGATTCAGAGCGTCGCCATAATCTTGACAGAGTTCTATGCTGTTTCAAAACAGGTATTCTACTTCTGAACTTTCCTGATGTTATATTGTGTTCTAAGCGTTTCCTTGTGAGAAAACAATATCCATTTGTATAATGATGATGGAGATAACTAATCCTGCACATGTACAATACTTCGGCGCCGTCTCCTTGTATGATACTGTTAGAGAGAGATCTGACGAGTGTATTTCAAATCCTCTTCTGGTGAGAGTATTCAATGTTTTCCAATAACTTACAGTTTGTAGATGGACAGTTTGAAAACATTTCTAATTGAAAATCTGACAGTTTCATCAAGAATACTGATGCAATCTGTTACTAATAAGGTTTGATTCTTTGTCTTTACAAGCAATAGCTATAACCTTCAGCTTTCTTCCACATTAGCTCTTTTGGCTCTATATTGTATGCCAGATGTATGGGCTCAACCAGTTCAAGATTTGACAAACAAATGGGCTACTACTCCAGAACTGTTGTTAAGGTAATGGTTTGGATAACATTCTACTGAATTGAATAAGAACCTTTCAGGGTATTAGCTGAAGTAGCCGCAGAGTTCGCTAATATCAAAATGCCTTTAACTCAGAGGAGTATTCTGAAAACTGAGCTTCACCGTATATCGGAGGTGATTTTCAAAGTTGTTCATTAACCCAGTTTCTATTATAGGAAATAATCCTAATAATAACTACCGTTATGGGTGCCCAGGATGCTTCACCTTCTTCTCGACAAGCCGCTGTGGAATGTGTTGAGCAATGGGTTCAAGTGCCAGGAGTTGGTTTGCAACAGTGGACTAACGTTCTATCCATAGTTTTCGCCGCAGTGTCGGAGGACAAGTAAGAGTTTTCATGATCTTATGATCTCATGAACCCTATTCAGCGCCGCTCTCACAAACTTACTCAATATATTAGCCGTAAATGATGAATTAGATACTCTAGAGCAGTTAGTTCTTGATATATGTAGTTACATAACACAAGTGGCTTCTCATGTAATGTTACAGTTTCTAACTTTTTTCAATCTCCTGTGTTTCAGAAAATCGCCAGCGAATTGAGAGAAGAAGGTGACAGTGACGAAGCTGTATCTCTTGTGTCAGCAGTTTGTACATTAGCTGAAAGAGCAGTCCCAACTTTGATACGTTATGCTAGATTGAACAAATCGAATACTCTTGTGTAGGGAGATTGATAATCAGTTTGCATAGAACTTTTATCTTTTTCAGAGAAGTTTGCCAACTTTTTGCCACTTTATCGTCTTGGGAGGGAGTTTATCCTATGGACGAGTCAATTTCTGATTTACCTGCAGTTTTTTGGACCACTTTGCGGGAGCATTTAATGGGCGAGAAGTCTCAAAATGTATATCAATGTGATTGATCCGATGACACAATGTTGTTGTTTAGGTCATACTGTCAGTACGGGATTGTTATGCCAATGTGTTAGCGACAGCGGTGACTAAGCTAGCTTACCCACCTGAAAATGTTTATAACAGTATGGACCATGAAAAGAAGGAGAAATTCGTCACGTAAGCGGTTTTCAATTGATATCAATCAATCCTTTTGTTGTAGCTATCGCATGGCTCGGAGTGAGATATCCTTGGACGCTTACTACATTGCGGGGGGTAATGAAACACTCAATTTCTTGAATCAAAAGCTTGAGGAGTACATCAACTCGGACTTGTGCAAGTAAATACAATCATTTAATCTTTCTTTTAATCTTATGTCATCTAGAGCGGAGTCTGTGATATTCCTCTGGCAGTTAGTAGCTGACTATCTTACCGAAGAAAATTATGAGCCGATTTGCAAATGCTTAGAGCTTTGTTCGCAATATAATGAGATTCCTGGGAAGAAAGATTCTGATAGAGTACTCTGCTCAATGATGAAGCTTCTCCATGATTTATCCCATTTGATCCAAGATCATCCTAATGTACTTATTTTACTTGACAAAAGTATAGTTTTCTTCTTCAGGCTATCACACTCGAAACCCATGCACTACGTCTTATCGTCTCAGCGATGAATCAAAAAAGTGTAATTGAAAGCGCTCTTGTTGCTCTGGAGAAGTATGCTGAAAATAGATCTGAATGCCTCATGGTTGGTTATTACATTTACGTTTGTATTTCAAAGACTATTGTCAGGTGGTTGGCGAGCATATCTCGGAAAGGTGTTACAATTGCTTCATGGATGAACACAGTTCTGTGGCTATACGAATGGCAGCTTTGAAATGTATTGGCTATTTTCTGTCGCTGAAATCTAGCGATACTATTATGGTCATTATAAATATATGTATGTATTACTGGAAACAATCATTTTCAGGATATCGTCAATAGAATGATAGCTCCTCACGTCGCAAGTCTTGTGAATGCACCTTGTATATCCCATCAGGATCAGGAAGCCGAGCGGTTGTTCCAAATCCAAATCTTTTCTTGTTTGTTCTCTACTTTACGGCAAAAAACAGGTGACTATCCATAAAATTCCTCGTAACCAATCGTTTCTAACAGATGATACAGATGGCTCTGTCATTGTTAGTATACTCGAACAGGCCATTCCTGTTTTTAAGCAATTGCTCACAAGCCAGGGCTCGTACAAGACTGTTGGAGATAAAGTTTGTGAAGCTATACGTTCAGCCATTGGAAATCTCTCTCCTGGTGATCTGATCAAAATTTTCCCGTTTGTGGCTGAGACTATTGAAAGTTCTCTGTTTTCCAACTCCACTGCTTCCTGCGCTTTAGCGAGAAGTTGCGTACTGGTTAGTTTGTTTTTCGGTTGGATAGTTATACTCCTGTACTTGTAGATGTACTGTAACATCAAAGAAATTGTGCCAGATTTATGCAAAGCCATAGCAAAGTGGTTCTCTATTTTTGAAACAGGCCATCCTCACACAGATTTAGAGCCCTGGCTTCTATTGGAATATCAAGTCCGTTTCGTTATATTCTTCTATATTAAGGAAGTCTTCCAGGTGGTTAAAAAGAATTGGAAGACTCTCAGGTCTTGTCCTGAGCAAGCTCTTGAAGCTATATCACATGCAATCACATTATGTGGAAATTTGTTATTAACATCGCAAGAGCCGTCATGCGTCAAACTCTGTGCTCAAGTGCTTGCCACAATAACATCACAAACAGCTTCTTTCGGCGATGAAGAACCGAAGCTTCTCCTTGCCAGAAACGGTCCACAATTAGTGAAGGTATGAACTGAACATCAACTCTGCGATTAATTGCTGTTTTTCAGGCTATTTTTGCTCGAGTCCAGACAGAGATAGCAAGAAACACAATCGAGTTCTTAGCCGAGAGCTTGCAATTTTTCGCTAAATTTTTCAGACAAGAAACACGGTATGCTTGCCTTCAATAATGGGAATCTATTCTTTTTCTAGCGCCGTAATAAACCAGGAAGGCTTTGAGGACTCTCCTCTCGTAGCTGGAATGTTTAGGGAATCAGGAAATCTCAAGAACTTCAAGCAAATGACAATAAGATTCAATCTAGCTTGCCGTAATGTGATTTCTGTGCCATCATAGGTTGAATATTTTGACGAATCTCGGAAAGGCTAGAGTATGAACATATTAACGGGTTCCTATTTTAATTGTTTACAATGTAAAAATTTATCAAGTTTCACATTTATTTGTAGATATTGTCACCCTTACGTAGTTTGTATAACTGAGTAGGTAATGAACTGAGCTGATCAAATGCAACCATTCTGTGCGTACGCCAGTTGTACTATTTCAAACTTTATGATAGCACCAGTACAAGTTTAAACGTAATAAGTTTACCCGATTATAGGAAAAAAAACATTTCATGTTCTCAATCACAGGAGCTGCCCTCGTCATCACTAAATTAGTATAATAAACATTAAGACATTTTGTTCATTTAGTCACGAACCTTTCAGCACCCATATCAATACCAGAGCCAAGCACTTCTTGATACAAGTCGATAAAGGCTGATCCAAAGCAATTGTTAGTTATGGACAAAGTACAATCCCTTCCGAAAGCATTTCGCCACATGGGTATGATAACTTCAGCTTCTTCTCTTCCTAGTTCACTACCAGAGAGATCAACATTCTGAATGAAATGTTACGTATATCAACCAACTCTAACAATTACCTTTATATTGACATGATTGCCTTCAGAGATCTTTTCAACAACATTCACAGCACCTTTTCTACACAGGCAATCACCCAGATTCAGTACTTCTAGCTTAGTCAGGTTAACTATTGCCTAAAATTTCATTTTTGATAGGATCATGACCCGAACTGTACCGCGGCGACTGCTTTAGCTCCGACTTCGGTGCAAGTATTGTCATTGAAGTTGATAACCCGAAGATTTGGGTTATCCCTGAGTGCATCAGCCATAGCGACTATTCCGTCCGATCGGATACCATTCTGGTTGATAACAATTTCTTCAAGGGTTCCAATTTTCTGAAACAGTATTGAAGGAACATCGAGAATGAGAACTAACCTTAAAAGCCTTGGAGAGAGCGCAGGCACCAGGGTCTTCTAGCCTGTTTCGTCCAGCGACGAATGTTTTCAGTTGGAACTTCCTGCCCCTTCTCAATGCGTTATCATAACAGGCTTCT